TGTCCGTTTCGATCTGCTTGCCATTCTCAGCATTAATTCCAAGTTGTTGCTATTGCATTGCTTCACCCTTGCAGCAAAACTGTGACTTTTCTTAATACTGGACAACCGTGTCCTCAACACTGAGGGGATGTCAGATTAGGCGCTGATGGAAACTCTCCGAGACCACAGTGGCGACCAACATTACTAGAACCAAGTCAGTTTCGCAGCTCCGCGCGCACGCCGGCACGAGCGGCTGACGCGTGAACTAATGGCGCTGCTGTTCCGTCTTGCTTCACATACCACGTCGCGCTACACGACGAGCGTGTTGCCGCTTAGACACGACAGCACGTTTTCGGCGCTCGGTTACTTCTTCGCGCCATTATTTAGTGAACTGTCGTGGTCCCTTACGAAAGAGTTCTAACATGTGACAAGAGCGCCAATAAACAATGCCTTATTGTTGTACCCCGGGCCGCAAAAGCGGCTACGGAAATGACATTGATCATCATTTCTTTGAGCCACCCTGGGATCGCGATGAGTTTAAAAAAATCCACCCGCATGTTCCCGCGGAAAGAAGTCGAGTAAATACGTCGCAGAGTGAGCGGGGCGGGGGGGGTATCGCGTGCATGTTGCGTAATTGGGTATTGTTATTTCATCTTATTTACAGAATGATGAAGAAGCGCGTCCTGTTGGGAGGCTGATGTTGGGTTGTGCCCCACTACTGGTTGAAGGTACTGCTGCTTCCAGCGCATCTACTCGAGTCAAGCAAAGCGTAGCCAAAAATTTTTTTCGAGGGGGAATTGGGCGGGGGGCACCTGCTTCATTTCGGGCAAGGCACCCCCTTGAAATGGTCATTTGTTATTCTCTATGCTATCGCGAAAAAAATTCCCGGGGGGGGGGGGGGGGCATGGGCCTGGTGTGCTACCTCCTGGCTATGTCTGGCATGGACACTAACTCCACTCTGTGTAACGAACCGGAAACGGTTGGACATGCTGTGAGTGAGTGCTGGGATCCGATATTCTTTTGGGATGTGGTACAAAAGGCCTTGAAGAACTATCTGCCGATAATACCTCATGGAATACGTTATGTTTCAATACAGAATGAGGGTGGTGTTCCATAGAATATGACGCGATTACTGGGCCTTTACAGTCTCTGGATAAAACGCATGGCCGTGAGCCACATGAATCCTAAAGCAAAATTGGCACGGGAAACTTCATTGAATGCGTAATATGTGCGCAAGATAGATCTAACGTTTATATAACCTCAAAATCGTATGCAGGTGTTTGATGAATTGGTGAAAATGAACCGTTTTTAAACCGTCAAAGTGGTGCGAGTAGACCAGTATGATTTTTATGAATATGTATTTTTTTTATTTCGCAATAAAAAGGTTCTGAAAAGCACACCCGTGCCTGTGTAGTAGAACTCCCGCTCTCCCCACAAACTTCCCGGGTTCGACCCCCCCTCAGACCCAGAATTTTTTATATTTGCATCTTTCTCAATTTTCCAGTCGCGCCCAAGATGATTATTTTTTGCTCACAACCAACGAAACCGACGCCAACACGAGAATTTCTGCGAAACGAACTCTTTAACGCTGTCGCGTTAAAAATGGGCACAGATGCTTGCCGCAAGGATGGGCGGCTGACTCACAAGTCCGCTATATGTGAGTGACATTTTGATGCGGACGATAATGTCAAATATCATAAGTACATTATAAATGGGAAATGAAATACTTCCACCTCGAGGAAAATGGTCGCTAGTGCCAAAGACATTACCTCGCTTTTTTCCCGGTCTGCCAGAGCGCATATTGAAGGCACATGTGACGACAAGAACAAGGAGGTCACACAAACACACACACACAAACACACAAACACACACACACACACACACACACACACGTGCTAGGGATGAGCTCATGACAGAAAATGAAATAGGGAAGTCATGGTCATGGAGTCGGTCGAGTTATTTTAGCGACGACGCATCTCCGGGCAGATCAGACGTCTCGTCAGCTACACCATTCGCGCTCAATGAAGCGATGAACTTCTCGTTGTCTTCCGCGTGCAGGAGCCCAAAACCAATCGATGATGCCGTGTCAGGGATGACGTGTGGTGTTTTTCTACTGCAGAAATCTTGCACCAAGAGCTGCTACTACAAATAACTGTTATTGTGGAACGAGGTGGTAGCTCTAGATTGTGCCCCTAACCATTCGTGTTCATCGTAAACACTGTACAGTGTTTACAAAGCGGCCTACTAGATTTCTCTGCCAGTCCCACGGAGGCCACTGCTAGCCAGAAAGCCACCAAAGGTGGTGAAAACCAGAAAACAAAAGGTCCGCAACCTCTCGAAGAGGTTTGCCCGTGCGGCTGCCTAAAAAAGGAAGAAACATAAGGAGATCCTGGCTCTTGAGCGAAAGCTTTCCGCAGTTTCGAATGAGAGAATCGAAAACACCCTTGCTGAGCTTCCTCATTTGCTAAGGCTTTCATTTATGACATCACTAATGTAACGAGGGTTCCGCAATAACCCAGCGAAATTATTCGAGAAAGATGGCTAATACTTTAGCCATCTTTTGCGCGAGGGTTGGCATGATAACTACAATTTTTTTATACCCCCATGAGAGAATTCTCTCGCGAGAAAGATGGCTGATAACTACACAATATAAAAAATTGCCACCTTGAGCAAACTGTATTTCTAAAAAGTGTTTTCATTATAGCGCAGTCGACATTTGGCTGGGAAATTTTGCAGGCCGACGAACACTGGAAAGAACGTGAAAGATGCACAGCTGATTACAAAATAAACTACGCTTAAGATGAGCCACCAATATAGAAGGACGATCGCATACTAACAACTCGTCCTGTGTACTTCTATTCTGGCGTCTTGTGTTTCGCGCACTCTATTTTTATAATGTATTGCGAACTAGCGCCCAACACAAGCTTCTCGGGCACAGCCGATTCCGCCCGAAAACAGCGTTCCGGGCACTGTTTGTAAATGAATAAGTAAAGAAATAAATAATAATCAGTTTCCCGATTGGAAATGCTCCTGACATTTAGTAGTGATTATGAAACAGATGTCTTACAAATTTTCGTTTTTGAAGTGGTTGAGTTTACGCTCAGTGTCTATGGCGGAATCTCGTCCTATCACGACTGACGAGAGCTGCGACGAGAACGCGAATCACTCGCGCTGCAGCAGTACGACGCGCGCGTTTGAAGCAAATGGCACAGCACCCACTAGTTTTCTCTCGTCGGCCACCAGGCCACTTCAGAGTTCGCGCCTACGGGCAAGCTGCGAAACTGACCTGGTTCTAGTAACGTTGGTGGCGACGAATCCTCGCAGGTCGACTTGTCACACGCTTCACTCTGGTGCCGCGCCACGAGTTCGCAAGCTGGTAGCTTTCGCGATTAGCCACTTAGTTCCAGCAACACGACGGCGCGTTGAATGCAATGCAATGAACGTGATAGCAAAAAATTGTAATGTAATAAAAGTAAGGCTGCAGCCACAGTTTTTGGATTCGATATCGTAGAGCTCCTACAAAATCTCTTTTCATACAGTCCCTTCACGTTGAAACCCCACTGATAATCGCCGCGATAGCAAGCGCGTCAGCGATCGCGACCACCACAAATCCAAGTTCGTCAGCGCTACTCATGTACGAACGAAGAAGCTTTCTGCAGGTGTTTCTCAATGTACATTATCAATGAATTTTAATTGTGAACCATCGAGACTTATGTTCGAAAAGAACCAGCAATGGCTTCATTTTTACTTATGCAATGTCGCCGACCCTACAGTAACTCTCTGATCGCTCTATATCAACACATTTATACTGAGTAGCCTAATCAATCAACCCAGAGTTAACTGCAAAAATTAGCAGATAAAACTTCTAAAATGCCTAGCTCAAGCACTAGCTCATCACAATTGTGAGGCACCAGTTTCACTACAACCACCATATAAAATTTACAACTCACTGCAGAGCCTATACATGTAAAAGAGTGCATTCAAGAAACAACCAAAACAAATTTTACAACAGAATATAATTGATTAGTTATGAACAATTAATGAACTATGTGTATAGTTGTGTAGCGATGAATGATGAACAAAATACATTCAATGCAAAAGCAAATGCAACGACTACTCCAACATGTGCTACAAGAAAATGGGCAACAGACCGATCCCGTCACAACTGCCACGTAAAGATACACAATTTTACCAGTTATAGTAACTCGCCCACTCCATTATGGTTCTAAGTCGACAATGCTTCAATTTCCGAGGCCATTAGTGCTGCACCTATTGACCCCACCGTTAGTGGGCAGGAAAAGTGAGCAGGGTATATCATAGAGTGGGCGCAGCGTCTCATTTCTTTGCAGCAAATTAAAGTAGCACCTTTGGCTTGTTAGCCAAGATGCACACGTCCTACGTACAACTTTCTCCTTTCTTCTCATGTTCTCTCTTCAAGCTATTCAAACAGTGACAGAAATGTTGGTAAGTACATAAGAAAGAAAACTACAGGCTTCAAAATGTGCTATTGTTGGTTACACATAAGTTCCACCAAGTGACCTGCCTGAGTCTCCGTATGAGAGTCATGTCAACTGGTGTTTGTTCAAATCTTCAGTACTTTTATCTGTTAACAAAAATAGAAGTTCATAATTTCTGGCTAAGATATGTTTTCGGCTGGCCACTCATGCGAGAATCTCCGATTAAATCTGCTGCAACATTTCAGTTTTCTACGAGAATTCAGCGGCGATCTCTTATCTGTATTTGTATGGCAAAATTTGTACCGTAAATTGCTTAAAGTGCTAGGTTTCTGAAAACGAGCAAATGCGATTGGATGGAGCGTATATGCAAATTGTTTTTGGGCAAGACAGCAATGGCTGTAGGCAGAGCCTACAGTCGGCCTCAATAGGACTTGCAACACGCTGGCTGTGGTTAAAACAACCCAAGTATGATTAATGATGCCATTAGATTAAATCGTTTCAGAAAGCACTCCTAACGAAGCGATTTTAGTTCACCAATTTGTTTTTTATGTACTAAGTGCCGCTTCGAAACGTTGGTACCATTTTGAGCTCATACGTGTTGCAACTTACATTGAGAGTGACTGTACACACTTTCTCGGGCTGAACATACTAGCCATGCATCTTATAACCAAGGACTATAACTTCCAGTAGCCCAATGCAGAAGGGGACTCGCGACAAACGTCCTGGCGATGTTGGTCTGTTAAAATTCCCTAAATCATTCGCACATTTCTGTACAACCCATTTCTTACTGCAAGCAGCTTAGCTTGACTTGCACAGACAAGACAACGAATATGGTCACTTCAGAGTGGCTTCTATATACAAAATACAGTGAAATCGACGAAATCAGATCTGTTCCTCGTGTCCATAATGTACACTTACTTGAAAGTGTCAAAGTAACTTTAAAGCTAAAGCAAACTCTTGCAAACTCTCGCAAGCTTCTCCAGTGTTATCGTGAACTAAGCTTCTAAAAAGTATCTTTTCACACGCCTGCATCAAAGCAGAAAAAGTGCCGAGAAACGTAGCACTGAATCCCTGAACGAAAAAAAAAAAAAAAAATGCAGGAGCCTCGTGTACGCGACATCATGCATGTACTTAAACAGAAGCTCTCCTAGTCGCCAACACACCACGCTCACAAGAAGTCGGCTGTTTAGGAGCTTTACAAATACTACAGCCTGGTTCTGTGCAATGGTAATGGTGTTCCCACAAGTGTCCCACAGCAAGTTACTACTTGACTGTTCTAGCATGAGTGCGAAAGCCCTAAAGCTGAAGGAGGCAACGGACATGCGAGGCCCACAGGCGAGAATGCTGTCACGACGTCCAATGTCTCGTAACGTGAAGTGCTACAATTTCCGATGCAGCACTATATAAAAAAAGTGTGCACTATTTTCACACAGAGTGCAGGCAGTGGGTCTGCTGTCAGGTGCTCTAGTGGCACTGCTGCAACTTCTCAAAACTCATCCCACAGACAGAGCAGCGCAATCTGGAATGAACAGAAATAATTGCAATGAATAAGAACTAAGAAGTCTATCTCTCATTAGCTATGAAACATTTCATGCACACTTTCATACGAATTTCATGAGATGGCTTTCCTTTTTACTACTTCGATCTATTTATCTGTACTAATAATATATGGCAACACAAGTCAGGTATATTCATGTATATGAGCATTGCACATAATGCTAATTACATGCTGATGTCTGTATTCTTGTCATTTACAAATTACTCATATAAAGTGGTCATCAAGCAGTCAAAAAATGTACAAGTGTTTCTAACTAATTGCTATGCTATGCTTGAGAAGCAAAGGTGATTATTTCCCTGTGCTAGCTGGTATCACTACTACATTTTATCGCATATACCCTGCCCCTGCATACAGTTAAACCTGCAGCTGTTTTCGGACTAGAGAGATTGCTTTTCAAGAAGACATACCTCGAAACAACCACGGCGTGACGTACAAGTGTCTCTTCCATGTGCAGCACTTTGGGTGCTGGAGAAAGACGAAGAGAAAAACCTCCACACCGATGACCGGCAAAGAAACGAGGCCTAGTAGAGGAAGATCTTGCGCGTTATGGCTCGGCGACACATATGACACATTCGCAGCGTCTGCGCACACACACTGCACGCTCCGTGTCCGCACAGGAAAGCCACGTTGCGCCGTCGCTCCAGGCAGATGCTGCAGCCCTGCCACTCTTCCATCTCCTGCAGCCGCAACTCCAATTGCCGCAGGCGCTCTAAGCTGACAGGTCCACCGGCGCCCCCTTGACGACCACTGCCCGATGGCGCCAACACCTTGCCAGCTGGAAACACAGGAGGAAAGAAATATCTTCAAGAACTACGATCATCCCATCAGCAAAAGCCACCTGCGTAAGTGAACAATGGAGACGACGTACTTTTTGAAGACAGCCTACAACCGCGCCAAGTGTGGAAGCTACCCAGAATTAGCCTACACTGGTTGTGATAAAAAAATCACATCATGTACCTGTCAGACTTCCAGACAGAATGCATCTAAAACGACCTACCAAGCTACTCTACCCTTTGGAAGTTCACTAGCTTTCATGAATTTTGTTTTTACACAGGGCAGGTTGCTGCAACTTCCGACAAAGAAGCTGCAGCATTTACGCAAGGCTTGTTTCCTTGAGGCACGTTTTGTTTTTTTGCCTGGTTGACCAGCAGGTCAAGAATGAGTTTTCTACAGCATTAAAACCTTTCATTCCTCTCTAAAGGCATTTGTCTTTACATTGCCAAGATGGTGCCAGTCATTTGAATGGTGTGGAAGCAGCGTTCACTCTATGTTGGACTTGTTTCGTTGCTTGTTATGTATTTGATATGAAGTGCTTTTATGATGAATTAGGCACCGATAACAAAAGACATACAGTAAAACTCGTTAAATTGAACTCAGTTACTTCAAAATCCTGCTTAATTGATGGATTTCTGTTCTCCTGTATTTTGCAATATAAATTTGAGTAGATAATTTGAAGCGGCGGTCAGCACCAGTCCGGTTAATTAAAAAACTTTGGAGGCCATGTACCCACTCCAGATTCTGATTTCACTGCAAATCCGCGGAAACAGTGCCTCTTAGGAGCCACAAGACAATGCAATGTAGCAATACTGATAATTGACAGATAAAACACCCCAACCACGCTTCTTCCAGCACAAAAAAAAAAGGTGGTGACACGCGAGCAGCACGTCGCATGCTTAAATCAATGTCAGTTCATCAGATTTACCCATTCTTTCTGGAAATATAAAGAAATTAACCAAGGTCTGTCTGACGCAGTTCACTATATATGCGAACTTCCGATTGGCAGTTGCTCCAGCAATTTGCTAAACTTGCACTGCTGGCAGAGTTCTTGCCTGTAACTCCAACTTTGAAAACTGTAACGATGATGTTTTCCAGCCAAAACGTGTAGCAAATTCCATCACACTGGCCCTTATTAAATCATTTATTTCACCAGAACGAATGGGCAAACAATCGCATCATGACGCACTGATGCTGCAAAAAGCAGGTGACACGTTGCCCACGTGTCACCACTGCGCTGCAAAGAATATTTTTTTCTGCACGTACACATTTTAGCTAACCTCGGGACACTTTTTTTTTTTTTTTCGCTTACAGAAGCAGTGCCTGCTGTTCACCCATGTTTGTGCCAAAATTTGGCCTAGGTATTGTGAGAAAACATAACCCTTGGAAGCTGCGAACTAGCCAGCACAGCAAATGACATTTTCTGATCACTTTAAATGATTCAAAGTTTCTTGCATCCCACTTTTTGTATGTTTTGTTAATATTGAAACCCACCTAATTTGAAAATACTTCGCAGTCCCAGTGACTTCGAATCAACGAGGTTTCACTGTAGTTCATCATCATAGAGTCTTGAGTCTAAATATGCAATTTTCCCAAAAATCAAGTTTGTCACAATTTTTAACATTCTAATGCAAAGCGAAGATCCATCGTGAACTTATTTAAAGCACAACACCAGAAAACACAGGACATCGAAGGAGCAAAAGAGAAAGAAAAGACGGCGTCGTATTTTCTTTCTCTTTTGCTCCTTCCCTGTCCTGTCCTGTTTTCTGGTGTTGCACTGTAAATAAGTTCACGATAGATCCTAACCAACTGGCCCAACTTACCGTCTTACCACAAAGCGAAGCATGACAATCCGCAAAATAGCCGGCTGCACATCCAGGCTGTATATACTCACAGGCATCCAGTTTGCGGACGATGGCTTCGCGACAGGTGAGGCACTTCTTCATGCGCACGCTACAGTCTTCACAGGCCATTCGATGGCCGCAAGGCTCAAAAGTCACTGAAGCTGGGGACTCGAGGCATATCTGACATTCGGCAACATGGGGCAGCTCATCAGCTGAACAGACGGTCACGACTGAACTGCTGAGCGGATCCAGGGTGGGTGTCACAGTCAGTGCTGATGCACTTCTGCATCAAAGAGAAGAGGAACCAATTTGAGCCATTAGTGTACTGCAGAAACTTTAGATCTAAGTTCTGGCAACAAGTTCATGCAAAAGATGTATAGCAATAAAGGACTTGCAACAAAGGCTTTGCAACAGGGTTCTCAACATTAAAATGCATAAAATAGCAGTTTCAGAGTGATTATACACGCTGCGATGGTCTAATGGCTAAGGTACTCGGCTGCTGACCCGCAGGTTGCGGTATCGAATCCTGGCTGTGGCAGCTGCATTGTTGATTGAAGTGAAAATGCTTGAGGCCCGTGTGATAAAATTTAGGTGCTCGTTGCCCCGCCGTGGTGTCTAGAGGCTAAGGTACTCGGCTGCTGACCCGCAGGTCGCGAGTTCGAATCCCGGTTGCGGCGGCTGCATTTCCGATGGAGGCGGAAATGTTGTAGGCCCGTGTGCTCAGATTTGGGTGCACGTTGAAGAACCCCAGGTGGTCTAAATTTCCGGAGCCCTCCACTATTGCTTCTCTCATAACCATATGGTGGTTTTGGGGACGTTAAACCCCACATATCAATCAATCAGTGTACATACACATTCGTCGACATACTTTTTATACATGGCCACAAAAGTTTCTGGACATTTAGGCAGTCCAAAAAAATGAATATTGATGGCTTCTTGTAATAAAAAGAATGGCGGTTCGTGAAAGCTACCAAATTATGTAGCAGGACAATTAACATATACTTAGAATGACCATGAATACTAATATAAATGCACCACGTTTTGTTGTCTGCACAAGACCCTTGGTAACGTCTTGCTTTTATGTCAACATGTGTGGTCAGTGTCCATTGTAACTGTCCTCGTGTCTTTTTCCGACCGTGCAGGTTTCAGTCTGATTCTTGGCTTAATGATGTACACTAAACCAGATTATAACTAAGTTGTATCATACGCAATAGTAAGTTTAATAATAATAATAAACCAGAAAATTTATTATAAAGAAATATTTCCAACACTGTACCTATTTCAAAACCACGGTGTTTACTCGCGTAATTAGCACAATTTTTTTTTTTCCGAATTTGGGGCTTCGAGAAGAGGGTGCGCAAATTATGCGGCGATTTCAAGAATGCATTTGAAATATAGTGCAATAGTCCTAATGTACACACTATATGCATTAAATAAAATAAAATAAATTGAAGCACAAAACAAGTGTACTTATTTTATTTAACAGAATTAGCACAAGCTTTAACCAGTAAAAACCAGTCACGTGCGGTCTAGCCGGAATTGCTGATCGAGAGGTCCAATTGAGAATCATTGCCGTGGCTACTGCCACCTCCCTCCCAAAGCGCATCCCCCTCGGTTCTGTCCAGCACATCTGAATGTCCAATTTCCTTGAAGCTCTTCTTGACAATGCTGGGAGAAGCTAGGTTCCACGACATGGTGATACCGGAGGACATAAGCATTTGCAGATAATTGAGAAGGCCTTCTTCAATGGCAGCAAACTTCTACAAGCAAGCGTACACTCTTCTCCTTTCTCCCGTACCGATAATGCCGATCGTCACACACCAAAGAATTTCACACTGAAATGCTTGGCGGTGGACAATCCCCGCTTTCTTCGGCAGGCCTTATTACAGAGAGCTTAAGTTTTGCCGTATATATAATTACCGTAGCCCGTCGCAAGGAAACAGTGAAGAAACGGCAGACGGATGGTGAAACCTAAGCTTCCGAAATCAACCAAGCTTGCGTTGCAGCGTGGATGCAGAGAACGGATGCCTCCGGTGGGAGTGTGCATTCTCCCAGTGGTAGAGATGGAGAGATAGAGGGGTTCAAACCTTCAAGCAGTTCCGGCGACCCGTCAACAGCTTTGAGAGTTCGTGCACGGTATTCTGGGGACCCTAGTTTGGAAGAAGTCCTCGGAAGAAGGGACTTGCGCTCGCCTGATCAGCGGGGCACGTGCCCGGTGCTTTTGTCCAAAGAATCCAAAGATCCGAAGTCTCATCGTGCGTGCGCCGGTGAGCTGGCTCGGGTGGATTGGGGGCGCAAAATATGCGAGTGAACATTTTTTCTCTCGTAAAGCTGACACAATATTAGGGGGGCAAAAATTATGCGAGGGTGCAAATATGAGTAAATAGGGTATTTTTCATTCGCTTTGTTAAAGCCAATATTTTGTTATACTTATGTTCACTATATTGAGGTTTGAGTGTAAGCACTATGAGGTACCCAAAAGTTAGCTAGTAACGGAGGAGCGGGCCACTGAGGAGGAGGAGACTTACTCCCGAAGAGTACTCCAGTGCTGGAGCAGCTCTTGGACGGCCAGGCTGCCACAGAGGTCAAGGGGCGTCCGCCCCACCAGGTTCTGTCGATGCAAGTCGGCGCCCTCCTTGACAAGGAGGCAGGCCAGGGCTAGGCTGTTCCCATCGACCTCCGGAGGACAAGAAGCCGACAGCTGGCTGGCAATCTGGTGGTGGGAGGGCATCGCAACATAACATCACCCATTAAGAACCGAGAATTGAAGTGCCATCAAACTCTCAATACAATGAAAGTAGACATAATGGATGTTTGACAATACCACGCTTAGGTTTTGCTAACAAATACTATACTATGTACATCAGCGCAAAGGCCGCCTTCCAACTTGGCAGCCCGAAATTTGGAAAGGTATTCCGATTGAAGAAGCAACGGCGCAAGGTGCCTGATGCTGCGTGCACATTTCATCACATTTTCGTTCACTGTGCACCTCCGCATGCTGTAGCCAGACTGAAGTACATAATAGCAAAAAGCTTTTAAGTAACAGGAATCGCCCATGCCATGAATCTCACCGAAGAAGACGTGGTTGACAAATGTGCCAGCGAACAGGAAATAAGAAGCACGGCAGAGAGAGAAAGGATGGTCATTTACATGGTTTGCATAAACCTACAAAAGAGACATTAGCTAAAGTGTATAATATTTGCTTGTGTACAGTAAACAAGCATAGATAATTATGGTGGATTTCATACTTGTAGTTCTGAAAGTTTTAGAACATAGCGTTGGGTCTCGTGTAATAGCTGCACCTCATTGAAACCATGAAAACAAGAGTATGTCCTTTACACAAGTCCAAAATCTTCACAGCACCTGTGGTCCAGCATGCATCGCTACAAAAAAAGAAAAAAGTGAAAATTGCCTGTTGCATCGGTGGTCAGCCACGTAGTTGGTATTTCATTGGAAACAAGAATTGCATCATAAAAACAAAAGAACTTGAATGCTCGAGCAGACACTACCTAACACAGGACTACATGAGCTAAGGATAGTAGCTCTATCTTTGCCAGTAAGAAGGTGCGGGAACTTCTAATGCAACCGATGCACTTATTAAAAATTGGTGAGGCTTGCAGTAAACTGTGCGAGCCTTGAAACAACGAAACACGGCTATTCTGAAGACTACTCGAACATTTTCATCACCTGCATCTCCCCTTAAGCAATGCCGCTACATGTAATTTATTGATTGATTGATTTGTGGGGTTTAACGTCCCAAAACCACCATATGATTATGAGAGACGCCGTAGTGGGGGGCTCCGGAAATTTAGACCACCTGGGGTTCTTTAACGTGCCCCCAAATCTGAGCCCACGGGCCTACAACATTTCCGCCTCCAATTGCCGCTACATGTAGTAATATAGCAATTTGAGCTAAGTGGACCCCACTCACGGCAGGCAGTACCAGCAAGACAAGAGACAAAACAAAGCACACAACTCAGGCACCGTCACCCACGCCTTAGTGAACAAAAAAGGGGGCTATTCTGTGAAGGGCCACAAGGTGGCCTGTCCATTTCAGAGCAAACTTTCTGGGCAGAATGGAAGAGTTGGTGTGCCGGCAATGATCATCATCACTTGCTCTCCAGTTATATCCCATGGCATGCGCAGAAATGGACGCTCCACCTTGTGGAACTTCACAGAGAACCACCCCAGAGAGAATAGGTGAGAGCACAGCACGCACCATGGCTGTGGCAGGCGCCTCGCCATTCTCGGGGATCTGCAGGGCCTGGCGTTTGAGCAGGGCAAGATGCAGTGCAGTGTCGCCGTCCTCGTCCTGAGCATCCAGCTGGGCCCCCATGCCCAGCAGTAGCTCCACGATGCCACACTGGCCCTGGCTGACTGCCAGCAGCAGCGGCGTCTGCTTACGGTTGTTTCGCACATCCACATCACACTGGCCCTGTCCCATGTGCAGAAAGAAAAAAAAAAAAAAAAAAAGCTCCACATTGTCACTAAACTGACAAGCCAACAGACGTCTGCAGCAACGCGTACAGCAGCTGAGAATATAAAGATAAACACATTAGGTTTGAGCTAAGTAATGTACAGACGAGTCCACTGTTAAAGGGTAAACTTGTGTACAGGCATTTCTACGTTTCGCTCTCCCACGAAACCATAGGGGCTGACACTTGCATTAGCCTACTGGTGCTTGGCAGCTTGGACTTTTTTCGATAGAATAACGTCAATCAAAATAATCTTTCTATGTCTACTAGCTTTCAAGGTGCCACCAATATGAAATCTGCTCATTGTTCTCTTCAACAGTGGCCCATACTGTACATACTTTCATACACACAGCCTTCAATTTATGCCATGTTATTTTAACATAATAGCTCGTGCACTTAAAAAAAAAACCAACATTACATTCAGTGCACAGATTCGAGGTGACACGACACGTCATTTTGAGAAAATATATATACAAGTTGTTATACTTGAAGTTTTGATGCTGCACTGCATACTGTGAGCAGTGTACGATGGTCACTGATGGATCAGGGGGAACACAACAGCGTGGTTAATAAGATTTGCAAAACATTAAACACTTAAGGTTTCTCCAAGAGCTCAGCTCCTCATGCAATCTCATATGATTGATGAGCAGAACGATCACGCCACTTAGTTGTACATGGCATTCGCAATCCATAAAATAGGAGGCCGTAGTCGGAGAGACCCAAGAAAAGTTAGCAAAAATAAAGTTTTAATCAATAAATAAAGTAGCAAAATAAAGTTTTAATCAATCAATCAATCAATCAAATGAAAAAACAAAACCGTGGCTCACGACACGTACCTGTGTGAGCAGGGTCTCCACAACAGAATAATGGCCATTCAGAGCTGCCAGGTGCAACGCCGCGAAGCCATCATCCTTCTTGATGTCCACAATCTGCCTTGTCCGTGACAGGAGCTTTTCCGTAGCACTAGAAACAGAACAGCACAGCGTTGACGCTCTAAGCAAAGTGACAATCGCAAACATGTATCAGACAGACTTGAAACATTTATGAAACTGAAAATTGCATACATTTTAACAAGGCAGTAAAAACCATTTGCATTATTTAATTAAAGAAGTTTGCAGGCAATTTAACTACCAAATTTACAGGCATAAAATGTAAGTTTGTTCGAATGTTTGAGCACTTCGAATATTTAAACAAACATAATTTATTCAAATTCTCTTCAATTGATATTTAGTTTGTAAATATTTTTGAAGTACAGTCGACTCTCATTAATTCAAACTCGAAGGGACCCCTGGATTTTGTTTGAATTATCAGGCTGTTTGAATTATCAGAAGTTCTCATATATGCGACTCTGGGTAAGGTGACAGCACAAATTATGATCAGACATCTATATTCACACTTTTAAGCATCTCTAGATCCTAACTACACAAAAACAGAGAGCGGTGCATGTATGGTCAACAAGTTTATTGACTATCTACTGCTGACTAGACCTTTTAAAAAAATCATGGATGGTCAACTGCTTATTTGCCACATGCGCATTTAGCACAAAGCTCTCGATGCCAGTAAGTGCTGCCAGTTGATTCTGAGAGTTTTCTGTTGTTGTCAGAAATTTTCTCACTTTAGCAATGTACTGGAAAGCCTGTGCAGTTGTCACATTTTCCACTTCCGGTTCTTCTTCACTTTCACTGCTCTGTTGTGCTGGCAGCACCTTTGCCACCAAGTCATCGAGTGTGTCCTCCCTGCATACGCACAGGTTATCATCAGTAGCTGCATAACTGTCGAGGTCGGCAGCTATGTTGTGCGCTTTTAGAGCAGACAGCACTTGGCTTTCATCGTCGCCCTCAGTCTGCAAGCAGTCAGATGAAGTGGCAATGCTGCAGCCAGGTATGCGGAAGGCATGCTCGAAGCAGTTCCTTATTGTTGCTGATGTGACAGCATTCCATGCGTCGGCGAGCATGCCCAACGATGAGAGTAGTGTGACACTGTAAGGCATGGAATTGTCCATACATATCAGCATTCTCTTTAGCAGTGTTTTCCGGTAATTAAGCTTCAAGCATTTGATTACCCCTTGATCCAGGGGCTGGAGGACAGCTGTAGTGTTAGGAGGCAGAAATTCAAGGCGAATTGCTTCCAGCCCCTCCACGTCGCCGTGCGCAGGGCAGTTATCAACAATGAGCAAAATTTTCCTTTTCGCTCGCTTCATTCGCCCATCCAGTTTGCGGAGCAAACCCTCGAACAAAGCTTGCGTCATCCAGGCTCGCGTGTTTCCGTCATATGCAACTGGGAGCGTTCGGACGCCTTTGAAGCACCTGGGACGCTTTGACTTGCCCACAACGAAGAGTTCTGGCTTGTGACTTCCGTCCATATTGGCGCAAACCATGACGGTTAACCGTTCTTTGCTCAGCTTTCCGCCAGTGCAACGCTCTCCCTTGCGACACAAGGTTTGATCGGGCAGGCACTTAAAAAACAGCCCCATTTCGTCGGCATTATATACATCAGCCAGGGAGTATTCAAGCAGCCGGCTTTGAAGTTTAGTCTGCCGCCAGTTAGAAGAAACAGCTTCATCGACCACTGCTGCTTCACCACTCACTGTTTTGAAGGAGAGACCGTGGCGTTCCTTGAACCGAGAAATCCAGCCATCGCTGCACTTGAAATCTTCAATTCCCAAGCGCAAGGAAAGTTCTTCAGCTTTCTCTCGTAGGATTGGCCCATTTATCGGTAAATTGGAGCTCCGTGCACGCTTGAGCCAAAGAAGCACGGCGTTTTCGAGATCCGGGTACGCAGCTTCCCTAAGCCTTTTCCGATCGGGAGCGAAGCGGCTCGCGTTATTCTGCAGCTTATCTTTGGCTTTCAGAATGGTTGTGAGAGTACTTTTGGTTATTCCATACTTCAGTGCCACTTCGGTCTTCTTTACCCCAGCGTCGACTTCTTGGATAGCGGCCAATTTCTCTTTTAGGGGTAGTGTCCGATATTTTCCTCGCGGTGACATGGTCGATCGAAAAATGCGCAGCACGTAAGAAAGACGGGCAGACCTGTACGCATTCTGTGGGCAGGTCACGTGGTTCGGAGTCGGCCGGCGCCACCGGCACGCCGGAAAAGCAGAGATAAGCCGCGAGCCAGCTTCGTAACCACCGGGCCGTTTTTGTTTTTCGTTTTTTTTTCCACCGCGGCGCGGAATGCTGAGAAATGATTGTGTGGCAAAACCTTTTCCCTTGAAGTTTTAAGGCGCTTATTTTTCAATATCAGACTATTATGATAATCATAAGCACGCAAATTTTCAAATATTGCCGGCAAATCAGCAGAAATTTTCCGGTATGGACAGGCAGAAAGTACGAATTAACCGAATGACGAAGTTTGAATTAAGCGGCTTTTAAATACATTGAAAGCATAGCGAGCCAACCAAAATTTTGAATTTTGTATGAATTAACCGAAAGTTCGAATTATCAGAGTTTGAATTATCGCGAGTCTACTGTATTTGAAATGAACTAATAGGTGTGAACAAAAACTAACAAGCAGCATTTTATTACGTCTCTTAATGCACGGAAGGTTTATTTATTTGGTGCAGGTAGTTCAAATACTCGTGATTAATCGTAGGTGGTAACTGATGTCATCGGGATCATTTTCCAAATGTCCTGCTCAGAGCGCATGTGTTCTCTTGCATTTACCTAAATTTCTCGGTAAGTAGGGCCCTGCTCTCGATAATATTGTCGTTTCAGACATTGTCATACACTGAGCTTTCACACTGACATAACTTTTTATTTGCCTTTAGTGTTCCTTTCAATGAACATACCACCCTTACATCAAGTTAACATTTTCTTAAGTTTACAAGATTGTTACAATACCTTATATTCTCTAAATATAGTAAATTTTAAAACATAACATATTTTACAGGTTATCACTTGTATTCTACTGAAAGTGAAATCCTGCAAACATTTAACGTTGCTTCCACTTCTTCTGAATTAAGAAGAATGACGTTTGTGCATGCCTTATTTCAACGAAATTGTGCAAGTGGTTTCCTTTATGACAAGTACGCTAATTTTTCTTTATAACACGCGATACACACAACTCGAATCTGGTTCCAAAAATTTGACTGAACTCACCATTTGCTTTGAATTCATTTTAAACCTGAAGTTTACTATTTATATAAGCCTCATGGAATAGCATTAGCTACCACAGAACAGGATGGGTAAGAAATCATTGAGAGATGCTCTTGTCCTGAAATAAACATAAACCAGGCAGGCAATGATGACGACATGATTAAGCTTATGTGAACAGTGAAGTTTAAGTTTAAAAACTAGTAGTGATTTTGGTCGAATAATTTCGAATTGAATTTGAATAGCTTACATATTGTATATCATAAACAAGAAGAAAAATGTGCATATTTGTCATGACCTAACTAACTTGCACAATATTTTTTTTTTTTGAAAGAAGGCCTGAACAAATCCATTTTCTCGCTTCAAAGAAAGTGGGAACGAATTTGAATGGTAGCAAGATTTCAATTTTGTTAGAATGCGAGCGATAAGCTGCAAAGTATGTTGCATTTTAAAGTTTGCTACGCTCAGTGCACATAGGTTGGCATATCAGGCTTTCAAACTTCAAAAATGAATCGATTCAAGAGTAATATCTTCATTTAACCATGAAGTAAGACTTTGCGGCAGTTTGAATTTCCTCTAGGTATGCTTTCATGCCTCAGCACCACTTCACTGCAGTGAAACAACCTTTACAAAAGTTTACAAGCAGAATAACATACACATATTCGTTCGTTCCGAATACTTCAATAATTTCAATTCACTTCAAAGTGCATTTGAGTACTGTACTATTCGTTAGAATAATCAAAGCATTCGAATATTCACACAATCCTAGACATGTTGACCAGTACATAACTTTGCCCCTGCTGACCCAAAGAGAACCAAGATTGCACTCGCTTCTAAGAGTACGAGATAGACTCACAAGTTGTTGCCCTTCAGGGCTGCGTGATGAAGCACATTGAAACCCCGCTTGTTCTTGAGCGAGAAGTCGACTTCAGGCACGCTGATAAGGATGTCTATGATGTCGATGCTATCTTTCCCTATGGCGTCATGAAGTGCGGTGTCCCCGTACGTATCCTGAATTCAGATTGACAATTACAAAGTGAAACTTGCAACAAGAGCTCGTGCACACAACTAATCAAACCTCAAACAAAGTATCATTTACAAAAATAAAAGTATAATTTCGTTATATCCGAAAATTCGTTATACAGATTATTCCTAACACTGCATCTATTGCAAAAGGATTTTTCATTTCCTTCGTTATAACCAATATTTCGTTCCATCTGGGTTCATTATACCTTCGTTTGAGTGTACGTGAGAAAGCTGGGCTGATAGTTGACAGGAGCTACGCATCGTGACAAGCTGGCGGCAGCACAGCGAGAAGCGAGCACGTATGCACGCACAAGAAAAGCCTTACTCGATACATGCAACACTATTGAGGAGTCTATTTGACTAAACATTTTCGAGTGATCCAAAACAGCAGCCCACTAATGTTTGTGGCTGGCCTATAACACACATAGAATATTTTCATGGCCAGCTGTCAAATTGTCTTGCCTACACGGGCCATCTGTACCACACTACATACTGACCTGTTAGTTGAAAAATACAACACACTCTCAGTGAACAGACACCTCTTTTAAACACAATCGCAGCTTAAGTGAAATAACTGCCTCTGGTACGATTGGTTTCATGTCTGAATTCTGCACTCACGTTCATCCGTTAGTAAATGGAACTTGTGTTAATACAAAAAAATTTTCCTGGTCCCTTCATGTTCCATTTACCAAGAATCTACGGGACTTATTTTTTCTACAACCAATACAGCTTTAGAACTTATTTTCAGTGCCATTATAGGGGTGGGAAACTTGCTGAAATGCTACAAAGCATTACCATTTTGTATTTACCTCATATGCACACCTGTGATTGCATCATCTCGACTATTGCCAGAAATCAATCTGTGGTTTAGAGGCCAGCTTTCAACTCTACCAAAACAACAATGAAAATAGCAAGAAGCAGAGGTTCTTTACAGAGGGTCATTGAATTTTATTTTTTTCTGTGTTCCTTTCTCCAAACAATAGTTCAAACAGAACAGATAAACTGACCTGGATATTGATATTGAGGATGGTGCGAAACTTGAGCAGCACTCGTATGCAGTTGGTGTGCTGCTTGTTGACCGCCACGTGCAGTGCTGTGCACTTGGCCCTGTTGACGGCGTTGATGTTTGCACCCACCTTCAACAGCATCTCCATGATCGCAGGTTGGTTGCTGCAGAGCAACAGCAAAAGCCACGTATACTCACTTTCATTGCACATCTTGAACAAAAGCCACTGAATTGAACAGGCTTTTGTACAATATCATTGAAGGGAGCAAATCGAGGCTCGTGTATTTCTGCATTCTTTTGGCATGGATGCGGGTTGAACAGGAAAACGAGCCTCACGGTGTTGATACTGGTACTTGTACGGACAGCGACACCCCATGACCTGAGTTGGTAACCTTTCAAAACTCACAAGCCAAGACCGAGATGATGAGGCACATTTAATTTGAAGCACTTGGTCTTTTCCAGATAACTTTTAATCACATAGTGTTTCTATTCTCTAGTTTCCAATTGTACTCTGAATTTGTTACATGAAATAAACAAATTATGTAAGGCCTCACCCAAACGCTGCGTAATGTAGTGCAGTGTCTCCATCATCGTCCTGGGCATCGACAGAAGCACCACACTGTAGCAACAGCTCCACAATCTCCCTATGCCCTTGGTGGCTTGACACTTGCAGGGCTGTCTTGCCCGAGCTCTTTTGGTTCACCTGTGAGATAAGGCATGGAGTGCAACTACTCATGGAACAGAGAGGGGAAGAGCTAACATTATAGACAATACTGCTCTCATCCTTATTTCTTTAGATGCAGGCATTTGACATATCAGTTCTCGAATCCTGCTGAACGATGACTGTGGCTTTGGTGTACATATGCGAATATCAAACGCCTGTTCTTGCTCCAGCACATTATGTGTTTCCCTATTTCTAAATAGGTTTAAAATGGGTAAGACTTCTACGTGACTAATTTGGTCACTTCATATTTAGATTTGTGCTCCTGCTTCATTCTGCAGCAAACATGACCATCTTGTCACCAGACTAGCTCTAGTCTCTGCGATGTGGATGAGAAGTGGCATTTAAGCAAGGTGCTATATTCACGGAGCCACCTTGAGGAAATTACATTTTTTTCTAGAGTATTATAAGCTAAAACAAAGATCCAACTGTGAGGCACGCCAAAGTGGGGTAAATTTGAACTAACCCTGACCTCTTGAGGCAGGATCTAGCGTACCTAAATAAATGTATACACCAGAACACAGCAAGCTCACTGCTTGCTGCCATATTGAAAAGCGCGTGGCGCCGTCTGTAGCAAGTGCGGCGAAGCAACACTCTCAACTGCCAAGCGAGCAGACGCTCTGCAAATCAAACGAGAAACTTCATAATTCGAGTCCAGCTGTAAGCATGTTTCGCGCTGTTCCTGTACTGGAATTTTAAACTGATTTCGTGTTAAACGTCGAGGAGACCTTCCTGGACAGTCCGGAATGTCTGCAGCACGCACATTGCAGACTACGGAAGCAGCTTCATCAGGCACGTACTATTGCGATTGAAAGAAACGCGAACAGCAGAAAGTGTTGCTTTCGACTCAGTCGAACTGCGGCATGCTTTGGCTGTGATAAGGCAGAATTTATGCTGTAAGCTGGCGTCAACGTAGTGTTAGAATCTGGTTTCAACTTACACTCATGCACAGCATGCGTATCAATTGCCAGCCCTGCCGGGCACTCGAAACACACGCGCGGCGCAAAAGTGCCAGCCAGAACAAGATTTTAAAATGCTACGGTGACGCCGGTCGAAAGCACACGTAGATTCACCTAGTGACAGCCAAGGCATGTCGCAGTTCGACTGGGTCAAAAGTCACGCTGTCACGCCGTTCACGCATCGCGATAGTAGGCCGTTGCAGTTGCACTAAACATTCGCGGTGCGTGCATCCACGCGTGAGTCGTAATACGCATATCTTATTATTGACATGCGGCTTGCGAAAGTGTACGGCAATAATTTTGTGCCTCATACTACAGGCATACTGCGCGCAAATCGCTGCTGTAAAGTGAAACAGCTGGAGTCGCGCTTGAATAAACGCAATAAGTATACTTACTTGTACACTACACTGGGCTCGTAATTTTTCCTGCTGATGGGGATTACATCCTAAGGCGGCAGAGCTCAGCGTTTTTTGTTGTGGACAGAAATCTGTGCAAAAAACACCGCGCCGGCACGATTCCTGCGATGCGCTGTGAACTTCACAGGCAGTGCTCAGCGATCTCTTCCTCTTGCGCTGGTTGTTGTCGCATCAGATGACAGCGCAGTGGTACCCAGATGACATTTTATAAGCGAGCGTAGCGTGAACAGGCGCATTTTCACATTTTAAACTCTCAGAGCCACTGCGTGCCATGCTAGCGAGGTGCGCCTTGGCAGTTGCAAACAAATTATGGCGTCTCTGGGAGCGAGGGTATACCGCCGAAGGCGCCTGGGTGCGAGATAGGCGTGCTCTCGTCTATACAGTCAAACCCCTTGACGATACACTGATGTAAGAGACAAAAGGGTATAAGAGACACCAGCGTGCCTACAGTGAAATAGGCATTGATAGAGCGTGTGCGTGGTAACCTACTTATACGAGAAACCTCAAATAAGAGACGAGAATAGCCGCCCGGAGTATGTCTCTTGTAGAGAGGTTCAACCCTACTAGCATATTTGCATATCACCTCCACCCAGCACGTACCCTGTCCGGGTGTTTGGCAAGGTGATCGCGCACCACATCGAGGTGACCCTGAGCTGCGTCACGCACCAGGCGGTCCATGCTGCCTGCATCGCTCTGCTGCTCGGCCAGCAAGTGACTGAGCAGCGGGTCTGCAAAAAAAGAAAAAAAAAAAAGACAAAGAGAGTATGTCCATTTCTTCAACAGCATTTCAAGTTTTACCGTAGCAAGTTTTCGGTATTTCTATAGGGCTAGTGTTCTTGAAATACACAAAAAGGATGACATACTAATGGGCTTACCAAGGGCATGCTGAAACCAAGGCTTTTCAGACTAAAGGTTCTTGAGAAAAAGAAATTGACAGCAGAGATATAAAAAATTACTCGATTGTCTAAACTGATTTAGTGTCCTACTTAAATGTCTCTTTAAAGAAACTGCTCCCCATGTATGGGCCTTGCTTGCAAATAAACCAAACACACACCGGCACTTCCGTCTGCAAAGTACAGTAAAAGCTTGTTAAGGTGAGATGAGGGTCGAAAAACATGAGTTTCTTTCAAAATCACTGATTTTTTTAAATTTTTGCCTGTTTTGATAAGGTTGGTACCTCTACTGTTATTAAAAAAAATTACAGGTCTACACTTAACTGGAAATACTTTAAAATTGCATCCAAAGAGCACAAGGTGCCTGTTAAAAGGCCCAAAGTGTGCTGTCTTCGAGCACCTTGCCGCCGATAATGCGCCGCCGCTCGCCATTGTTGATCGCATGAGCCGAAGAATCGAGCCTCACTCTTCAAATAACAACAGTTTCCCTCGCTGATGCAGAACAAGAAATAATAAAATAAGCACGCTTCTGCACATTTTTCAAGCGCCGCGACTGACTTATCACGTGGTACAGATCAAGGGACCGCCATTGGCCGCTGCACGCCTGTATGTGCTGCGACGCCTATTTGCGGGGTCCATGTCTTGTTGAGCAGCGCAGCTGAGCAATGTTTTTCTCATGTAATTATCTCTGTTATGAATGAAAAAAGCCATTGTTCGCAAGTGAAAGCCGTTGTGCGGCGCGCTCTGTAGGAATAGGCTACGAGCAGCTGGTCCGATTTGCGGCAGTTGTTGGCTTGTAAAAGCCAACGCATCAAAAGTAATTCGCAACCCGTCAGCCGGAAAGTTCGTGATGCGGCAATGTATGACGTCAGCGCCAATCTTGTGAGGTCGAAAGAGATCGCAGTGAGGGAACTTAGCAAGGACAACATTGCCATTATGTACGGCGGTATGTGGCACAAACATGGCCGCAAAATGGCATGACACTGGACTTAGTTTGATTTCGCAGTCCTGTCAAACAAGAAGAATTTTTCTTCTTGGTTGTCAAATTTTATCAGATTTAATGATATCTTTCATAAATTTAAACTTTCAAACTCGTTTTCCTCAAAACAAAAATTTTGTCATTTTTTTCAATGTGCCCCTCCTTTTTTGGGCACTTCTTGTGCTCGAATCTGCATGAAGTTTTGCCCAAATTTTTTCCAATGTATGACAAATGCAATTATTTAGTTTAAATTTCAATATTTTATTGTATACTAAAAAATTGTTTGTAAACCTTTACTAGGGTAAGTGAAATATGGACTTTTTATGTCTTATTTTTCACGCCTATTACATATTTTGTATGTGCATTTCTAATTAGTTACTTGCATTCTAAACTTTATTTCAAACATTATGAACTACAAATTGTAAAAAATTACAGAAGTTCAGGGATGAAAAGAGGGGGGGGCAAAAGGATTAAGGTTTTCATTTTGTCATGTTGCAGAGCTAAAAGTATGCAGCATGCAAGAAAACTAATTATATATTTGAAATCAGCATACAAAGTTCCATAAACAGATCAAGTTTCATTGCTCTCGGGTGAATATTAAAAAAAAAGTGTCTTCGAGTAGCATCTCTCCTTAATAAAGATTTCGCAGGATCAAAAAAAAAAGAAAGTCCCAATCATTCTCAAGTTGAATTATGAACACTATCAAGCAAAATAAGCAATGCCTATTACATCAATAGACATTTCTGGCATGGATATGCAAATTCTGTTCTTATTTTGCACAAAAGCAGTGCAGGAGCAGCAATTTTCGTCTTCCCTGAGTTTATTTTACATTGAAATCCCTGTGCACAAGCCACGTGTCCCGATTAGCCCAAAACATGCTCTGCACCACTCCCTTATAACGAACTGCCACCCCAAACACCACCATGCACACGTGGCAATTTTTTTGCGGATAAAATGATAACTGGTCGTTAATCCATCACAATGTAGCGAACGAGTTTTATGCCACCATGCAGAACGTGGATGAAAAAACCTCTTCATACTCGACCTCTTTAGCCACGAGTCAGTTTTGAGACGTTGTGCCCACGTGGCATCAGCTCAAAACGAAACTAACGAGTGCCACATTCGCTGCGAACGAAACTTCAGGTACAAACGACGCAATCATAGGCAGCATCCGCGCAGTTTTTAAGGCACGTGAATGGCCTGCGCAAGTAGTCAAAACAAAACTGCTGAGCGCCACAGCCGCTGTAGAAGAAACCTGGTTCGCTAATGCCCAATCATGGATGGCGACTATGTAGTCGTCAAGTCACACGACAAAACTAAAAGTTCTTGTCCAACCGCTGCCGGCGATACTGAGGATGCAATCTACATAATGTGATGTCCATGTAATTCGTGTGCCCCTCATACAAACAAAAAATGAAACAAGTTACCATGCGGTTGACACGAATGGCGACGCAGACTGTACTGCCTTGCGACAGTTGTTCACTGGGGCCGTTTTCTGTCTTTATAGTAAATTTTAAGGTTTGATGCAAATTTGAAGCAAATATCGATTTGTTCAAACAACACACATCATAATTAAAAAAAAAAGATGACCATGTTTGTCATGACCTAACTGAACTGCACAATATATATATATATATATAATGAGATATAACAGACAGTAATGCCAAGGAATGTGCAGGGGAAGTTATTAACATTATAGGAATGTAAATAAGAAGAAAGAAAAGTGGATGAAAAAATTACCAACTGTGAGCAGGAATCGAACCTACGACCTTCGAATTACGCGTTCGATGCTCTAACCACTGAGCTATCACAGCGGCCCTCCCTCCATCCACTTTTTTGGGTTTATCTGTGAATTTAGAAATAGGAGCGACAGTCAGCGCCATCTATAAGCCAAACAACGAGTGTGAAAACACTCTTATGCGCATGTTTGGCGTCACGTAGCACGTGAACTTATTATGAGCGGGCAGCTGATTAATTGTCCCTCTTATACAACCTAAACACACCAAGTCTGCCAGTACGAGACCCTCGTTCAATGAAATAAGGGAAAGAAGTGTATACCTAAGGGCTCGTTTTTCCGTGTTTTTAACACAATAATAATGAGATATAACAGACAGTAATGCCAAGGAATGTACAGGGGAAGTTATTAACATTATAGGAATGTAAATAAGAAGAAAGAAATTGTCCCTCTTAAGGATAAGAGGGACAATTAATCAGCTGCCCGCTCATAATAAGTTCACGTGCTACGCGACGCCAAACATGCGCATAAGAGTGTTTTCACACTCGTTGTTTGGCTTATAGATGGCGCTGACTGTCGCTCCTATTTCTAAATTCACAGATAAACCCAAAAAAGTGGATGAAGGGAGGGCCGCTGTGATAGCTCAGTGGTTAGAGCATCGAACGCGTAATTCGAAGGTCGTAGGTTCGATTCCTGCTCACAGTTGGTAATTTTTTCATCCACTTTTCTTTCTTCTTATTTACATTCCTATAATGTTAATAACTTCCCCTGTACATTCCTTGGCATTACTGTCTGTTATATCTCATTATTATTGTGTTAAAAACACGGAAAAACTAGCCCTTAGGTATACACTTTTTTCCCTTATTTCATTGAACGAGGGTCTCGTACTGGCAGACTTGGTGTGTTTAGGTTGTATAAGAGGGACAATTAATCAGCTGCCCGCTCATAATAAGTTCACGTGCTACGTGACGCCAAACATGCGCATAAGAGTGTTTTCACACTCGTTGTTTCGCTTATAGATGGCGCTGACTGTCGCTCCTATTTCTAAATTCACAGATAAACCCAAAAAAGTGGATGGAGGGAGGGCCGCTGTGATAGCTCAGTGGTTAGAGCATCGAACGCGTAATTCGAAGGTCGTAGGTTCGATTCCTGCTCACAGTTGGTAATTTTTTCATCCACTTTTCTTTCTTCTTATTTACATTCCTATAATGTTAATAACTTCCCCTGTACATTCCTTGGCATTACTGTCTGTTATATCTCATTATTATTGTGTTAAAAACACGGAAAAAGGAGCCCTTAGGTATACGCTTCTTTCCCTTATATATATATATATATATATATATATATATATATATATATATATATACTTTTTTAAAATTGAAACAATGAACCCACAAATGCAATAATTTTTTATTCATAGGAAGTGGAAGCAACTTTGAGTAGTAGCAGGATACGACTTTCAGTAGAATACAAGTAATAACCTGTAAAATAGGTCGCATTTTAAAGTTTACTATACATAGAGCCTATAAGTTGGTATAACAAGCTTTTAAGCTAATAAAATGAAGATATGATGTGAGTACAATATGTTCACTTTTAGTCTTGCAATAAAGCATGGCAGCATTAAAATTTCCCCTGGAAATATGTTTTCACAACTTAGCACTCCTTCACTGCAGTGAAAGCACCTTTGCAGCAAGTAACTTGCGGACTAATGCACACTTGAAAGGGTGCACTCACGGCTTGTCACCCCTCAACGACAGTGAAACCACATTTACAGAAAGTCATACGCAGACTACTATAGTTTACACCTGTATTTGTTCATTTTGATTACTTCGAAATTTTCAACAATATAAATTCGAGTCTAAGTTGATTTGAATACTCTAATATTCATTCGATTATTTGAAGCATTCTAGTATTCGCACAAGCCTAGTTATCCCTAAAGTGACTACTTGAAACGAAGAGACAACAACATACTCGCATGTTCTTCCCTTGTATTGGCAGTCATAGTGTTGCTGATTTCAGTGGCAGAGCCGGGCACAGGGACGACGCACAACGGGTTGAAAGTCCACGTCTGGCCATCCACGCTCACCCGTAGGTCTCCGTCCGAGTACAGCTTGACCACCTTCCCTAGCTTGCCAAGGCACTGCATCAACAGCCAAAAATGGTACTTAAATTTATGCACACACAGTGTGGACGTATTCCAGGCACATCAGTCATCTCAATTAAAATAATGCGAAGCATACCTTGCGAGCCTAAAGTTTCATCAGCTTGTGTCTCACACTCCCTATTGCTAACATGAGTGCAACACATGCAAAACTGCTCGCACTCTGACAGATGAGCAGAGAAAACTAATGCAAGGGAAGGCAGAGGAAACACCGAAAGAGTTTTCTTCTGACCTATTCAGTACAAAATTATTTGTCATGCACGGGCTTGTGAAATCAAAATACAAGTAGTACCACACACAGAGATATTACTCCTGTTTCATTCATACTAGCCCATCATACCAGCCCATTCCACCAAGTTTGTATCAGCTGTATTTCATCCATTCATAATACCCCATCAGTGCAACTGCTTCACTAAACCAGGCTGTGGTGGTAACCTTTCCTCATTTGTTTAGACACGCCACACTGCAGGACAGCCTTACTTTTAAACCGACACAGAAGAAACTTGATTGCATCTGGCTTAGAAAAATCCTGACTGTGCTGACGCTACTCACCGCTTTCATGGCGTCAATGTATTCACCGTGGCCAACCTGCCACTCCTTCAGCTTTTGCAGGTCGTCGCATATTTTAACCATGTCCCCTACAGAAAACATCACGACCTGGGCAAAAACAAAAACAAAGGTCACAGTTTTGCCACGACGGCAAGTTAATGAATGCGATACTAACAAATTGGAATGTTGTACAAACTAAGGCTAGCAGCTAGCTCCTTTAGTAAACATGGTTGTTGCAGCAAACAAAGTGATTTTCGTATAGAGTACGGCTTTAACACAAGCATTCCAATGAGAGCACAACAAGTGCAAAACCATGAGCCATCTGCAGATTTCCTCTTAAGGTAAGGCATGCACAACCTCAAGCCGGTCGATCAAGGCATGTATATTCTTGTTGGACCCACGTAGCACGTCCTTTGATCCAGTGTCTCCATGCCCCTTTCGCGTCACTGAGATGGCCAGCTCATTTAACTTTAGCTAGAGCAACGCTGTCGACACCAGGACTTGCACACACAACACACACATGGGGGGGGGGGGGGGGGAATGACAGTTATCGGTTTAGTCTTTAGTCTTTACAAAGAACATTACGGCAATGCCCATGCCATAAATACACCTTGGGTGTCCATATATTGTATTTACGTACGTAATGACCGCACTCGCGCAGTAAATGCACACCGTACTTTAGTCAGCAATATTTCGATTTATTTTTTCGCCAGGTAATAAACGCACACCCCCATTTTACCTGCTGCAGTATCGCGAACCGACATGCAGCCACCTGTTCGCCCAATGTTTTTTTTTCTTTATTGCCGGGCCACCTCAGGCCACTTCCCCACCCTCTCCACCCGGTACAGTGCACTGTTCTTTGCTCATTTTTTTTTATCTAAACACAGCATGTCCCTCTCTTCTAGTACTTGTTTTTGAAGTATTTTGTGCCACAGCACATTTCACAAACAATGAGAGTTTAGAACCCACAATTTACAAACAATGAGAGTTTAGACCCTGCAGCGCACAACCATACAGCGAGAAAGCATCACAAAACTGCCCGCGCCAGCCAACGATTGCTGCCTGTAAATACGAAACTTTAAGAAGCCAGTGGCAGCCGGCGCCACCAGTGCGACTCTAGTGCTGAGGAACAGCTCATGAAAATTACACTAAATATTCGCATAGGTTATGCTTTTTTTCTTTTTTCTGTTTGCCATCAGCCATTCTAACTACGTGATAGCACTGTCTGTTCGTTTTTAGACTGCCTGCATTTTGCCGAGAGCGATGGGTCGAAATATGAGCTACGAGGCCCGTTTCCAGCTACCGGCTGTGGAATGAGCAATTGAGCACAGGAATAGTGGTGCTCATAGGCATTTAGGAATTGACAAAGTCCGTGCGCATTACTGGCAGAAGCTGCATGACAAGCTGCGCACTATGAATCTAGAGCAGTGTGCTTTTAGGAGACCAAAATCAAATCAAATCAAAGTTTATTTACATTGTGAAGATGTGGGAAAGCTTGGGCAAAAAGCGAAATAGTTAACTTGAGGAAAGCCCAAGCCCCCTGATACAAAGCAAATAATAGAGACACACAAGTCCTTGCAAATACAGTTGACGCCCGATTTCCCGGACGCCCAAAATTCCGAACATGCCCGAATTCCCAGATTTATCTGTGGCACCGTCAAGTTCCCCATAGAGTCGATGTAATAAAAGTCCGAAATTCCAGGCACTTATGGCCTTTGGCATCCTATTTCCCGGACTTTTTACTGTTAACCACCGAACCAAAGTCACCATCGACGCCGCCATTTTGGTCGTTTTCATATCCTTGAACCCAACATACTCACATCGCAGGTATGGCCAGCAGCACCGCTGCCAACTGCCGCATCGCGTTGCGGCTGCAGTAACCTCGAGACCGCACATGTCAATATGTTGCCAGCCGTAGCTTAGCCAAGCCAAACCTCACTGTGTTCGTTCACGTGTTGTTTTGTGAGCTCTACGGTCATGTCTGCGGTTGATCGTTTGCTGCTGCGCGCTATCTTCAGTGATCACGTTTCCCGACCTTCAGCACCCACCGAGTTCCTAGCTGTTTCGTGCTGCGCTTTTCGTCGAGCGGATTCGCCGTTTACAGAAATAGCAACGACTGCTTCGTCTTCATCCGCGCCTTCGAAGCGCACAAAGCACCCTCGTAGGCTCATGATAGAGAAGAAAGCCGTCATGAATAGGTAAAATGCGGTCGGTTGCAGGCAGAGGTGGGGAGGGAGTTCAGAATTTCGAAGCAAACTGTTTCGGACTACATCGAAAACAAGGTGAAGATCTTGAAAGTGGCTGCCAAATCAACCGGGGCTGGAAAGCAGAATGCGAGCCAGGGTGTTGACCCAAAGCTCGAGGAAGTGCTCGTCATGTGGCTCAGTGCCATGATCGCTAAGAAAACCCCGGTCTCAGGCAATATCCTGAAGCAGAAAGTGGAGGTTTTCGCGCTTCAGATGGGAGTGAAGGACTTCAAGTTCGGCGATGGATGGATGGCATCTTCGGTTCAAGAAGATGTGCGGGGAAAGCGGCGCAGTCGATGATTCCGTTATCGTCGAATATTGGGATGGAAAGCTGCAGTCCTTGCTTTAGCAGTTCCCACCTAATGATATTTTCAACTGCGACAAAACTAGACTGTTCGACAAGCTGCTGCCAGAGACAACGCTTGCATTTGCTGGTGACCCTTGCCACGGAGGCAAGCACAGCAAGGAGCGGCTCACTGTCCTCGATGGCAGCAACATGTCAGGATGCGAGAAGATTCCATTACTAGTAATAGGCAAGTCAAAGCATCCAAGATGTTTCAAGAGTGCAGTGACTCTGCCTGTTCTCTATGAACAAGAAAACCTGGGTAATGCAGCAGTTATTCGAAGCATACGTGCGCAAGCTGGACCGAAGGTTCGAGCAGCAAAATCGAAGAGTTCTGCTGTTTGTGGATAACTGCGCTGTGCATGACCACATCAAAGACCTAGAGGCTACACAGGTTGAATTTCTGCCGCCGAACACCACAGAAATCCTGCAGCCGACGGACCAAGGCACGATTAAGAACTTGAAGTATCATTACAAATCACGCGTGCTCAGCTGCATGGTGCTCTGCTCCAACAACAGGAAAAGCTACCCTGTTAGCCTCAGGTCTGCCGTCGGCGTGCTAGCAGAATCGTGGAAGGCGGTTATGCAAGAGACTTTGCGAACTGTTTTCGCCACGCAGGCTTGACACTCGACGCCGAGACGACTGTCTCGCCTCAAGTGAACAGCGTCTATGACGAACTGCCATCGCGGATGTTGCCTTCGAGGATGTGCGTGCTGCTGGTGTGTCGATTCCGGCCGGGATAACCTTTGAGGGCTACGCCGACGCTGACAGAGGCCTCGAGTTATGTGCGGACTTGACCAGGATTCTGACGACTCCAACACCGAGAACAAAGAGCCATCTCCTACACAACCAACGAGCTCGGAGTGGATGCGAGCACTGATGATACTGTCATCTATGTACAGCGGCAACAAGATGTTGACTGAAATTGAGGCAGACATGATCGCAGGCAAGCGGAACGCCGTGCAAAAGAAAATTGGCGACTTTTTTTGCATCTAAGTGCTGAGTTATGAGGTCGCGCCGGCCACATCGGATTTTTTTTTTTTATAGACTGCTCTTTTCAGAGCCACCTAAATGATGCATTGGCTGAATTTCAATGCGAATCTTGTACTCCGGCCGTCACCCTCTCCGTCAACGATAAATACCGTCAGCAAGAAAAAAAGGTGCGTTTTCATTTGCATTCATTTTTCCGGACTGCCTGATTTTCTGGACGTTTGAGCGTTCCCTTGAGGGTCCGGGAAATCGGACGTCGTGTGTTGCAAAGGCGCGTTACATACATAAAAGACAAAATATTATAAGAAATACTGTCGTTAAGTAAGTGCAGATGTTATCACAGAGAAAAAAGAAACAAAATATCTCAAATCAAGCAGCACATTACATACACAAAAAAATAGAGATTGTGGAAATTGAAACAAATTACACAATACTTACGATCAAAAAGGCACATAGTTAGTCTGTAAAAAAATATAAGCATTAATAGTCGATCCTTTAGGTACATATTTTTTCTCCACTGATTCATCCAAAGCAACAGAATAACAACAAACAAAAATAATAATTCAGATTGAACGTTTGCCTGTGCCTTTAAACATGCAAGCGTTAGGGGCCAAATAAAAGCTTCGCCGCCGTTCAGCGAAAAAGGCGAGTTCCCATGTGATAGAACCTTGGCTGTTACCCACGTAAGCGGTGCACCACGAATCGACTGAGTGGGGAGCTTTCTGAAGACCACGATGCCGAAAGCGAACCCATGACGCCAACTCAAAAGACAGTTGCTGCGGTCCTGAGTGGGCACAATACCAGGCTCTCCTTTGGGAGAATAAGAATCGCTTTCAGCAGAAAAGAGCTACTGAAGGCTCAGCAAAGTGATCTGTTTTGTCGCGAAATGTGTGACGGTCTCAGAAAGACAGAGTGCCATGACGCTGCTTGCCCTGCAGCGGGTGCGGATATGGGGCTGGAACCAGTGTTGGTCGCTGAGTCCCCGGAGGATTCATACTTGCTGGACCATGACGGGCTTCTGCTAAAGTATATAGCCACCGACAACGAGTCCATCGATCCGTTTAATTAAGGTAGTTATGCCCAAGAGTCTCAGAGCTGCACTGTTGCAATCCTCTCACGACGAACCCATGGCCGGTTACCTGAGTGCAGGTGCGTAGCCAGAAATTTTTTTCGGGGAGGGGGGGGGGGCACCACTTTGATTTCCGGAAAGGCACCTCCGGAAAATGGCAATTTCTCGCTCTTCATGCTGTGGGAGAAAAAATTTGGCAGGAAGGAGGGGCACTTGCTCGATGTGCCACCCCCTGGCTCACCCCTGCCTGAGTGGCTTGAAAGTTTTTGTAAAGCTGAGCCGCATTGTGACCTGGTCCGGCATGAAGCATGACATTCATCGCAATTGTCGTGCCTGCCACGTCCAACAAGCGGTGAAGCCGTTTGTCAATGGGCGTCCGTGGTGCGTGTTTGCTGAAAGACCCCCTTTTGGGAGAACTCAGCCTTGCCCATATCGCAGACCTGAAAGCTTATGTATCACGGTCTGATGGCCTTGACACTGCTTGCGTGAAGTGTCGCTGGGCGACACTTCACGCAAGCAACGGGGCACACGCAGGGCGGCATACTGCATTCGGACCCCGCATGAGTATAATCTCAGAAAGTGGTTAGATTTGTGATTTTGCGCAAGACAGCAGACTCCGTTTTCCGAAGGCCCTCAGTTTACTGTCTAGCCTCAGTAGAAGTTAGCTTCTTTACGGCCTGTGCTCAAAAGAAGTTAGCCTCACCCAGTTTTTTGCCAGCGTTTTGTTCAAGCGTTCATGTGTATTTTGTTTTTATGTTCTTTTGACCAAATATTGACTGTCATTTTTGCTCTGTTTAACTTTTTTTCGCATTTTATTTTTTCTGCCAGCGAAGGGAGTTGTAAATACTTGTGCTTTCAGTGGAGAGACAGACAAAAGATGCTTTGCGCCTTCGCTCACGCGCAAGCTTCGGAAGTGTGTATGTGTGTGAAGCTTCTGTGTGTTTCCGAGAAGAGCGCATTGTGGTTTCATCCCATTGATGTGGGCACTAGAGGTGCTCGGGGCCCTGACCCACTGACGACAGAAAGTCCGGCTGTGCCCTGCTCTCAGCCGTCGCCGACAAGTCTTGCTGTCCTTCGATTATGACTACTGCGCAAGGACAGCTGACATAGCAGCCTTACGTCTGCCAATGCCAGGCGCCTCGCAGCCAATTCCGGTACAACCTCCTTTATTCCTGGAGAGGGCTGGCTGACCCAGCGACGTCCCAGTTCCGTCATCGAACCAGAAAATTCGGGACCTCCGAACTACCACTAAAATGGCATTCATTGGACTTGCATTCTCATCGTCGTGAGCCACGTGCCATCAGTGAGTCCCTTTTGTGAAACCTTGCACATGGGCATCGCACCTAGCAAATCGCACCTAGCAAACAATATCCCGCTCTACCACTTCTCCTCGCGGTGGACGCTGTCTTCCTCAGCACCATGAACACCAGTGGTACTTTCCTGGGGTTCCCTAGCGCAGATGCATTTTATAGTGTCATTTGTTTTCTTTTGTTATTAATGTTTCTCCTTTGTCACCAGTTTTTTTTAACAGCAGTAACAGGGCTGGATTGAGGTTAGATGTTGCTCATAGCAGTGTCATTTTATCTGCATGGGAGACATCCGGCTGCCTTTGCAGCCCGGGATAGGAAAATTTAGGAGAGGGAAATGTGGGAATTGAGGCTAGCCCGCTGACAGTGTGCGGGCTTTGCCTCAGACTTGCTTCCCTTGAAGCTTTTCATTCTTATAACACCGCACTTGCCTTCGTAAGTGCATCTGGATGAAATGTCCAGCGGTTGTTGGAGCCTTCATATTGGACCCTGATGTCCCCTCTATCGGTCACGCGGTGTACAGTGCCTATTTTTCCTATGACCTGCAACCAGAAGTGAGTAATGAAAAATTAGAATATAGTCAAGTCGAGAACAAAACTACATATAAGTTCCCATAGTGCTCTGTTTCAGAAAAAGAATCAAAGAAAAAAATTCCAATTCAAGTGCATGATGAATATAAACTTGTGAGAGCTTCTGTTAAAAGCTGTGGGGGTGCGAACACCCCCCCTGTAAAGTTGTCTGCACCGCGTGGCGCACGTGTCTTGCCCCAAGGCTTTATTTCGGTGGTGACCACCGCCGGGCGGTAGATGGCATTGTGTTCGCTTTGAGTACCACTGTTGGTAGAGTGGTAGCGCCGGCAGTGGCCCCTGGCGGAAGGCAGGCCTTGGTGGTGGGCGAGCGTTGAGCAAGTCTCTTCTGCGCGTGACGGCTGCCGCGAACGGTTGTCTGTAGCGTGGGTCCCCGGTGCTCGGCACCGCAAGCTTCCCGCCGGGGTCCCACGTGGAAAGTCAGGCGTTGGCGACGCCGCCTTGGGTATGTGTTAGTGTGTTGGGTGTGTTAGTGTGTGTTTATCATGTTATTGTGTGTTTAGTGTGTCATTGCGTTATGTTGTTTGTATGGTAGCATGTTAATTAAAATTGATGTAACATTCGGCGGACGATATCGTCATCTAAATTAGTTAATAAATGTATGTATGTTGTGTGCTTTGTACTGACCGCGTCTGCTGTGTCCGTTCACTCCAAGAGCGTGGTGTGGCATGGCGCGCGCTCGCCACGTCGAAACCCCACACTGGCTGCCCAACGTGGAGCTGTTGGAGTATCGGACGACAGTTTTTGCGGTTCAATACAGGGATTTTGCTAGAGCCGGAGTAGAGTAGGCCTAGGGGGACTTCTTTCGTAGCGTCGGTGGTGTGCTTTGTTGAGAAACGAGGAGATTGGTTTTGTAACGTGTTTGAATTTGTCGGCAGGTTGACTTTCTATTTATTTTTTTTTTTGCTCGCAAGTGTTATTTTTTGTTGTTGTTAGTCTTCAAAAACGTTGTTGAATTAGGACGAGAGCTAGTGGACGTCTCCTCGCGGCTGCCTCTTCTGCGCCTAGGCTGGGTGGATGCCGGTTGTTGCCGAGCGACTCATTAGGCCTAAGGCTCTGCGCAGCTGCCTGTCGCACGTGGCACAACTAGGTGGATCGTGGCGTTGAGGTGTTGCGCTATGCTTCCCTCACTTTTTTTTTCTTGTGAGCACGAGTTAGGAAAAGTGATTTTTGTTTTATTTTGATGGGCGTCTCGGCCGCCACCGATGTATTAGCTAGCAGTACTGACCAACGTACCACGTGGACGAAAAGCTCGAAGCTCCCTTCCAAAGGACCTGCTCGATTGTTTTCTTTCAAGTTTTTTTTTGTTGTTATTGATGTATTCAGCGGGAGGGATGTCATCCACAGCCGGCTGTCCTGCACATCGTCAGCGTCGCTGGCCAGGAATGCGGTCGTGAGGTCGGGCGATGGAGATGCCTAAGACCTGCCCAACTGCCTGCAGTCCGGCGCCCTCGCGAGTGCTGGTCGCAACTGGAAGACGTGTCGGCGCTAGCGACCGATCGTCGCGCCGACGGCAACGTTGCTGTTGCGGGGCCGGTACTGTGGTGAAGTCTAGCCGGAAAGTGCAGCAGTGTCGACCAGCGGCGGTGTCGTGGTGCAAGGACATTATGGTCGTGCGATATCATTTTCTTTTGTTAAAGCTTGTGTAGCTAATTTTTGATTTCGGGATATGGTTTTATTTAAGGTTGGGAGAATGTGGGGGTGCGAACACCCCCCCCTGTAAAGTTGTCTGAGCCGCGTGGCGCATGTGTCTCGCCCCAAGGCTTTATTTCGGTGGTGACCACCGCCGGGCAATCGATGGTGTTGTGTTCGCTTTGAGTACCACTGTTGGTATAGTGGTAGCTCCGGCGGTGGCCCCTGGCGGAAGGCAGGCCTTGGTGGTGGGCGAGCGTTGAGCGAGTCTCTTCTGCACGTGGCGGCTGCCGCGAACGGTTGTCTGTAGCGTGAGTCCCCGGTGCTCGGCACCGCGGGCTTCGCACCGGGGTCCCACGTGGAAAGTCAGGCGTTGGCGATGCCACCTTGGGTATGTGTTAGTGTGTGTTAGTGTGTGTTTATCATGTTATTGTGTGTTTAGTGTGTCACTGCGTTATGTTGTTTGTATGGTAGCGGGTTAATTAAAATTGATGTAACATTCGGCGGACGATATCGTCGTCTAAATTAGTTAATAAATGTATATGTGTTGTGTGCTTTGTACCGACCGCGTCTGCTGTGTCCGTTCACTCCAAGAGCGTGGCGTGGCGAGGCACTCGTTCGCCTCGCCGAGGCCCCACAAAGCCAATAAGTGAAATAGCTCAGAAAATCTTGTGAAGGGGTGCAGCAGCTTGAAAGAAAGTATACTGGACAGCAAACATGCTGTTTCTTCTCTTGGAACCACCTCTAGGCTCTCTTTAATGTTGAGTCAACTAGCCCAACAAGTCATTATATTTTTACTTTCAAGTTCAAAATATAATTGACAAAACAAAATAGGTTGCCTGAAACTCAGACCGGGCTTTTTTGGACCAGGTTCATCGTCTGAAGTGTGCGCAAGCACACATACAACACAACACCGTGTTCAATTTTCGGCAATAAAGTGGTCAGTAGTAAGCGCTCGTTCAATTTTCTCGTATCTCTTGTCCACTTTCTTTTGTGCTCTGCTTTTATTTTGAGATGACTAACCAACTTGCCCAGGAAAGCATTCTATCAACCTCCACAAAATTTTTTATAACTGAAATGTGCAATGTCAAGAAAAGAGATGCAAAGGCCACCAACCTCGGACATCTTGGGATTCCATCCACCATGGCCGTCCTGCATGATCTTCAAAGACTCGATGTCTAAGAGAACCTCCACCCTGTCTCCCACACTGAAAGGAGAGCGTTGTGACTGGCCTGACGCTCCTCTTAGGGCCACGATGGCCCTGTCCGATGAAGAGACCATACCTGCGCGGCACACTCATCTTGGCCGTTGCGTTCTGCCACAATGTGTCAGCCATGACAGCTTCGTTCGGTAAACAGTCAATGAGGCAATCGCTTCGCAGACGTTTGCGCAAGGATAACACTGTGTTATCACCAAGCACTTCACCTTTTTTTTTTTTTGTCGCACCATTAGAGAGTACGGAGGTATGCCAATGATAATGCCGCAACTTACATTGTATTGATACAATATGGCCTTTACATTTACGTTTTTTATCAAGTGTGGGTTTTGTGATCTCCCGTGAGCTCAATGGCTCACGAGTTTGGGCTCTTGCTCCAGTCGGCTCATTCTTGCGCAATGGCATCTGCACGTTTGACCAGAATTTACTTTCGAGATACTGATAAGCCTGCTGTAGCACTGATAATGTAAGCTTTCGACGTACAGTACCGATTTCTTATCAGGAGCAACTGTGAGGTAATGCGTTTAATTCTGATAATGCAAACACCATGTGCAGCTGAGGTATATAAAAACAATGCGCTTTCCATGCTGCACGAAACTCGGTGAAAATCCCGGAACTTTTTGAACGAGACATGTTACAAGCTGTCGCATTTGCCAGAGCTTGAAGACGATCTGAAGTGGATGTGCTGGGAAAGCAAATTCTGATTATACAGTGGAACCCCGATTACAAAACCTTTAGGGGACCACGCAAAACCATTGAATAATCCAAGCGTTCTATAATCGAAAAACTAAGATTATAGGTAGTGACACTCAGCTTCGCCCGAAAAACGGGTGCAGACCACCGGAATAGGCCCACGACATGTCCGAAAATTGCTTGCCAATATCCAAAAGTGTTCAGTAGCAACAACAGTAAATGAGAAAAAAAAAAACACTTCACAAAATTTTAAATTCACATGGCCATGACGCACAGAGTTGACAAATAAAGATACTGTTTAAACATGCAAGTCCCAAAAAGAACACAGCGAAATTCGAACGCACATCGGTACACTAAGCCGATTCCCATTGTGGAGAGCAGACGACTAGCGGTGAGAGGACGTGCAAGCCGGTGTCAGCGCCCCCTGGATCTTTCTTTTCGGTGCATCGCGGAGCGGCCTTAGATCCGGCGGCAACACTTCCCTATTCTAAGCTTTGTGCACGACCGAGATGTGCGCGTTGTGATTGATAGGCTTGTAAAGTGCAACTACTGATGTCCCACTTTTTTTGTGAACGTTGACGTCAAGTGAAAGTAATTTTGCAAGGAAAACAGCTGCATCGGGCCTATATGCGTGCGCAAGCCTGACTGCGAGTGCAACAAAAGCAGATCAGCTGTATGTCGACCAAGAAAAGTTTCCACAGACTGAAAACATCAGCTTTTCAGCCGGCTGAAGCTAGTCTGTGTGGATACAGCTTAACTAGGTAACGACCCCAAATACATAGGCCCGTGATCGAGGCGTATGTAGAAGAGCATGAAATATAGAAGCACATGAAATAAATTTTCCATTCTAAGAAGACATCTCATCTCACTCTCTATTCTTCCAATCGTCTACCTAGGGCAGCTCAAGTTCACATTTTGCACTCGTGAATATTTGATCGACGCTTGGTTTAGGTGAAAAAAAAAGGTGTTTTTTTCTTTTGAACGGAATCTGAAAGTCATTGTAAGATGCAGGGTCGGCGTAAAACCGCGTTGCATAACCAAGGTTTTTAATACATTATTTTTGTGCTGATTTTGCCACGACCAAACCGATTTGCCGTAAAATGTGGGTCCTCGCGAAACGGGGGGAGGTATAATCGAAGTTCCACTGTACTTCTTTAGTTCTTGCAGTTGCATGACCATGGTGGCAAAATACAAAATTACATCTCTGTTGATAAAATTCTACAAGCAATGAAGAATCATAGCTGTGCCCAGAACTAGCCTGAAGTTTTGGCAGGTATTTACCCTTGCACAATGCCGAAACCCCAATGTTTGACACAAAGAAATATACTTAGGGTAGAAGATCATTAAGAAGAAAATTATGCTTGTGGGAATAGTGAATTTCAGGGTCGAAGCGAATTCAAAGCAAATAGTGATTTTGGTCGAATAATTTCGAATTGATTTTGAATAGTATGTATGACATAAAAAAAGGGAATATTTATCATAACCTAACTAACCTGCACGATATTTCTTTTGAATTGAAATAGGGGCTCTATGCAAATGCCTTTTTTTTCATTGAAAGGAAGTCGAAACAACCTTGACTAGTAGTTTCGGTAGGATCGGAGTGATAACCTGTAAGATACATAACGTCTTAAAATTAATTATACTTATATCATATAAACCATCATAAGAAGCTCAATAAAATGGATTGATTTGAGGGTAACATGTTCCTTTGAAGGGGCCCTGCAACACTTTTTCAAGTATCCATGGAGCCAGTAAACATGCTTGTCACCTCACGAATTTACCGCCGTAGAATTTCTAGAATCGATCCAGTACGAGCGGAGTTCCAAAAATTTGTCGCATGCTGCAATTGCATTCTCCATTCTCGACCCGTCAAAAGACCTAGAAGCTAAGTAGGGAAGGATGGCACGAGAACAGAAAAAAATGTCATGAGCGCCTAGCGACCTTGAGCATCCTTTCTCTCTTTTTTTTCTTCGAATACGAGGCTTTTCGTGCACGTACTTGTGGACAAGCGGCGACCTCACGCGGCAGTCCGATAACGACGAGCGCGCCATGCTCAAATCAGCCAATGAGTGTGACCAGAGCCGTATTTTCTTTCTTGGCTGTAACAAGTGATTTTTGAGCTTTATTTATTTTACTAATTTATTAATTTGTAGTTTGTAGTGTCATTTGCTGAGGAAAGAGAGCAATTTTAAGCTTCGAAAATTTATTGTGAATTTCAGGCCACGTGCTGCGCAATAATACTTGCCTCGCGTGTTCTCGGTAGCCTCTACTACCGATCAGCAGCGTTTTCTGACCATGCTCAGCAAGTGTTGCAGGGCCCCTTTAAATCTGAAGGAGGGCTTCGCGGCAAAGCAAATTTCTCCTGCGTAGGTGCTTTCACGGCTTTGCATTACTACATTGCAGTGAAACCACCTTTACAGGCAGACTAATGTACATATATTTGTTTATTGCGAATACTTCGAAAATATTAGATAATTTAAATTCGAATCGAAGCGAATTCGAATACTCACCGATTCGTTCGAATATTCGAAACATTCGAATATTCGCACAAGCCTAAAGAAAATACATGCAGCAACGACTCCTTGACACTCCCTCACAAACTTGCGGTGACGTTGGGCAAATAGCCCTATTCTCTATAGGCTAAACACAATACATTAAACGTGACATGGCGAGTTTCGGGAAATTTTTACTGAGCAAATGAGTTCTAGTGTAGTTACACAGAGCAAAAGTTGCCAAATAGTGCATACTACACGTCTTACTCTTTTCATCAATAGCCCTTCATGCCTTTCGCTCAGCATGACTGCATTAGAATTTTGTACCAACTAGCTCAAGATGACGCTTTGTACAGCAAATGTGGCCTGATTACAATAGAAAGTATAATGCGATCGGTAACACTGCACCGACACTCTGGAGATGAAGACTTTCGTCATATCCAGTTACCCCCAAAGTTGCTGCTTCCTCGTCTTGCAACATGACACCTCCAACTTTGCGTTCAATACATTTAAGATCCACGTGAACAACACATTCATCAAGTGAACACAGCAAGGTAAAAGAGGGTAGGTTTGGATGTGGTGACTGATGGCGGTTTAGGTAACATGCATTTCGTTTCCTAGTTTAAAAAATTGACATTAAATAAATGATGACAGAGTTCCGAAAAAATGCCCAGCCGGGCTCAGTGTTTAATTTTAGTGTCCATTTAAAACCATGCAGCAGAGCACGGCAAAGATATGAAAATTTCTTCAGCCCTCGCCACATACCCAGAATAGGCAAGTGGTCTCGATAGTAAGCCGGTCCAGGCACGTCCTGGATGCACCGCAAGTCCACCTTGCCTAAGTGTCCCAGGCGGTACACGTTTGTTGAGCCGGAGGACCAGCGGACACTTGCCACACTCCGGCCGGACTCTGTCTCCCAACCACGTACGTCAGTCACTGTGCCTGCCTTTCCCTCGCCTCCTGCACAGTACCGTGCAATCACATAACACTTAAATGAAGGCAGTTGAGAAGAAGGGCGCATTATCCCACTCTTCGTTTTCTTTAACTGGCGTACAAGTGACACAAAATGCTGGCTAATGGCACCATAAAAGCCTCTTCTACAAGCTCACGTGGACACTCATCAGTAAGTAAAGCAGAAATGTGGAGGCAGTGTAAACACACTCTAGGTAAGCTGTAGGTAAAACTTGGCAAACATGACTGCTTTGCTTAACCTACCACACAGACAACTTTAAAAACATCTTAGGAAAATGTTCATGTTGCGTTCCTCAGAAGACTTTCATCGTGCCAAGGTACTACCAAAGTGGCGGCTTCCTTGTCTTGCAATATGACACCACTAACATATTTGCAATCTCCGTGACCAACACATTCGTCAAGTGAACACAGCAAAGTAAAAGACAGCAGGTTCACCAGTAGGTGATACTCACCGTCCTGGTTGCCCCAATCCCAGTCTGGGCCCCGAACCACACGGGCTCCCGCAAATATCCCACGTGCTTGAACCTTGACAGCACCTTGTCGCCTGGGCATCTCTACGCTGCAGACAGATAAGACCAAGAATTTTAGCATATAATCTCGCATACGCAGGAAAAATCTTGTGCTGCTGTCACCTAAGCCAAACTCTGCCAAAGGCAATGAGAAAGTTGCCAAGTATCATCCAGCCAGCGACGACTCCAGCTGTCAAAGCATCCGCACACACACTGGGAGAGAAAGAGAGAGTGCCATTTGTTTTGTACAATCACTTAAATTCACCAGAGCTGTTTCATTTTGCCCTAAGAAATATTACTCAACCATCTCATGCAAGGACAACCTCCCTTTTAAAGGAGCACTGACATCAAATTTACTCATGCCAAGATTTTTGCGTCAGCAAGTAGCTATAGACCCTGTAGCAGCGATTCGTGACCTCAAACACAACTGAGGGATGAAAACCTATCACTTTTATTGATTTATATCACTGGTATCTAGCACTATTGAAAACGGCCGTTAATCCCATCACTTTTATTGATTTATATCACTGGTATCTAGCACTATTCAAAATGGCCGTCAATCCCACCATTTTTAGCGCTGAAAGCACCAGCAGTGGCGCTACCTCCGGCCACAGCTGACCACTTCTCCACAAAAAAGAGTGACGTCAGGCTCAGCTACTCCACGAACATTTCGTCAGCTAGGCAGACACATTCAGTCATGCCTTGTCACTTGCATTGCTGTCGTCACCACGCAAAGTGTCTACTCGGGGTTCAATACGATAGTCTGGAGCTCGAATCCCCGCGTTTCGCGACCTCACGAATTATTTTTGCTTCGATCAAGCTTTTGCAGAACAGTGATTCTGAAATGGACACCGTTCCAAGCCCCACTGCAGAGGTGCTTGAGGATGCACGCTTCAGCCATGTTCACTCGTGTATCTCAGCTGTATTGGTGTGTTTTGGCGTGCAAAGCATTCAGGTATACACAGAGGGGTCAATGCAATATAGCTATCGCGAATGAGCATCAGCGGAAAAACAGAATAAGTTTCCTGCTTGCCAGGTTCTTTTTTTGCGCCTCCAGATGGCCCCACCTATCCAGCTTCTTGCAGTTAACACGGTTTTACCCCTTTTACGTGGACACAAAGTCTACAGATGAACTAAAATTCAACGATACCTGCGTGTTACTCGTTAGCGATGATATCTGACTATACGCTGTTTCAATTTTGATAGCTTGTGGTCGTGTTGATGTGTAACACATACGTGATATGAAAAGACCCCCTCATTGCGCTTTTTCTGTGCTTCGAACTAGATGACTGCAACTCATCTGCAACTCACAACGATTCCCCGACATGCTGACCGACAAGCACACGTTCAATCATGCCCTTTTCTTTCGCCGTTCTTTGAAAGGTGATTTTATCTTGATAATTTCACGAAATCATTTACACCGGTGCGACGAAGATCAGACGCGACGAGTGAGTGCGTTTCTGCGCTTCGGCGCCTTGATAGAAACACTCGGATCGTACACGTCATCGCTGCTGGGGCATCATCACTCAGGACGGTATTTGTAGAATGTATCACACCGAACACGTAGTACTAGTGTCGATGTCGCAGGGCAGTCTATTTTCCGTGTTTTCTCCTTAGCTTTTCTACGCTGTTTGACATCGAATTAAAATAATTTCCACACGACGGATGCCATTCAAATTGGGCCAGGAAGACCTAGGTATGCATACCAAGCAATCGAATGATAGGCACATCTCTATCTTGAAATTTGATGTCAGTGCTCCTTCAAGGACAAAGCTCCTAAGGCTGTGGGTGGTTCTCTTTTCTGTTGTTGTTGTTGTTATTCTTGTTGTAGTAGTAGTAGTAGTGGTAGTAGTGTGTAGTCACCTCTAGTTTATGAATTGCTCAAGAGATAGCTTTGTGTGTATATGCCCTTGGAAACGATTCCACTAGATGGCGTTAGTGGTTTTCATATAATTGACAGACAGACAGAAAGATATGGACAGACTAACACATGTACAGACAAACTGACAGACAGACAAACACGGACAAAAAATGGATGGACGGATGGACGCTTCGCCCTCTTCATCATCCTCCACTGCGTGGATATGCTGTGAATTTTTTCTAACCTTCAAGTTTGGTTAACATTTATTTATGCTCCAACAGCACACACACTACCAAAATAAAGAAAACTTTAGCTTTAGAAGCACGAATGCAAACATCAAAGGCGACAACGAATTGTTAGCTTCATAGCTCTATCTATACTTGGATACAACTTAACGACCAAAGCGCAGCAGCCAATTGTTTCCGTGACTAAAGCAATACCGTATTCACACAAATGTAAAGCGAGTATTTTTCAAGATTTTTTCTACCTGTAGGATTGTAATGAAATACCTAAATTACTGAAAATCAATATTAAAGATATCTTTACTTTTGCTTTCTGGATGCATTGAAGGTCACCCTCGTGTTACAATTGTCGTCGTGTTAAAATAGAGTAAATATGGAAATATGGTAGTCCCATGAAACGTTACTAGATACTTTTCGCCCAAGCACTCGGCAAAGTTTCGGGGCTTCTCTTTCTCTGTCTTGGGCAGGTATGGATTGCAAACTATGCTACGACAGACCAAATGCTCTCCCACCACTCATGATGTCAGTACGGAGTGCGTGTTTATAGGTGAATGCTTCTGTGCACCTGCCATTTAAGGAGAAGATGCCGCTAACTTCTAAAGTTGTACTCGACAACAAATGAGTAAAAAAAAAAGAACAGAACTGTCAATTGATTTGATTGATTGATATGTGAGGTTTAACGTCCCAAAACCACCATACGATTATGCGAGATGCCGTAGTGGAGGACTCCGGAAATTTCGACCACCTGGGGTTCTTTAACGTGCACCCAAATCTGAGCACACAGGCCTACAACATTTCAGCCTCCATCGGAAATGGGAGAATTGACAACTGATAACAAGCATAAAGTGACACTAGCACAAGTAAAAGAAAAAAACAGCACAAGCTCAACACCAAGAAATCAGCAGTTTCGATGTGTTACGCATCTTTTTTAACCTTCAAATATGTTTTGCCACTCATACGTGGAACATAGTGGCATTGTCACACAAAATGAACCTTCACAATAAAATCTTTATTTCATAAGAAAACATCTTTTTTGACCTTAAAAAAACATGCATAAGTTCATTGATAAATTTTTGCAAGTTCCCACTGAGCTGAATATAAATATGTTGCCTGACTTGAAAACTTATGCCAAGATAGGACAGAGTGTTTTTTTTTTTCTGGCCCAAAGCTCTTTTATTTACAAAACTGAAAATTATTGAACTGAAAGCAAGTTTGAACAACACCTTTCAATCTAAAGTAAGATATAGTAAGTTATAATTATAGTAAAATTGACTTGATAAGTTGCAAACAGCAAACTGTCAAAAAAAAAAAAGCTTTTTCCAACCGAATGACAGTCCTAAACTTGGCCTGTGAAAAGAGAGTCAAGTAGTTTTCTCGAATGAACTTCTTAAACCCTTTTCTTTTTCAATAAAAACTATACCAGTAGCCTTAAGCATGCCTTACAACATTTAGTCTCAAAAAGCCCAGCAGAGAAGAAAGCCACTACGAGAAATCTGAAATCACTTTTGTCTTGCATCATGAAATGGGACCCACCCTATGCAATGCAGGTTACCGAAACGGGTGCTACTATACTGACATCCAAAACTAAGTGCCCCCGAAAATGCAACCCTAAAGACAGTGAAAGCTAATTAAAAAGAACAACGAAAGGAGAGGCAATTGTAATTTACCTATTTTCTGAGAAGCACGAGAAGGCCGTGAACTTCACTCAAGCGTTGCACGCTCATGCTGCACGGGCACCACACAAAGCCTTGATAAACACTACAGTTCTGTCAAGTGAATGAATTGCGTACACTGCGTGAAGAACCAGCACTGATATAGCCGACCAGGAACCAGCACGTGAATGAGTGGATAGTGAGAGAGAGGGCGCCCGCGGCTTCTTCTTTCCTTTTTCCTGGGATGGGTTACAAGCTGTGGTGCAATCGACAACAAGCTCTCCTCCTCAGCAACCAAAACACATAACTTCCTTGTTCTCAAGCAGACTGATCTTCAGTGTCGGCGGTGCGCTGATAAAGTGCACAGATGTGCGAGAGAATGTAAAATACGAGAAAAAAAAAAAGAATGGACACAGTTTGGCGACATTATCATAAAATGCTTACTCTCGTAAAAGCAAAGAGAAAAAAAAAAAAAGGAAGTTTTTTTTTATTTTTGTAGCCGAAGTCACTTTAATTTCCAAGGGATCCACTATAAGGGATGTTTTAAATTTACAATCAATTGCATTCGTGTCAAGATGCCCAACTTTCACAGGTCATCTTCACCAGTATGACAAAGACTTCGATGTCAATATTGTTAGGTAGTAATTATTTCACTTCCCTACCTTATTTTAGCCTTTCAGCTTCAGATTCTCTAAAAGTGGGCAAGTTTCATTTGAACATTAAAACTCAGAACTTATTTTTTCAATTTGAGAAATTCGAAACTTATTTTGCTAAAAATGTTTTACATTTTCATTTTTTATATATAAGCAGTATGCCCATCAATAATCTTGTTTTTAAATATTTATTTGTTTATTTGTTCACATCTATTCGTTTATTGTACACATCTTAAACCATTACCAAACCACTAGCTAATAATAATAATATCTGGGGTTTAACATTTCAAACAACGATATGATTATGAGAGACGCCGTAGTGGAGGTCTCCGGAAATTTCGACCACCTGGGGTTCTTTGACATGCGCCTAAATCTAGGTACACAGGCCCCGAACATTTCCCCCTCCATCAAAAATACAGCCGCCGCAGCCAGGATTCGATCCCGTGACCTTCAGGTTAGCAGACTGAGAATCATAACCACCAGACCATCGCGGCGGGCCCAAGCCGGTAGCTGAAAGCAGGAATACCCACAAGGGAAAGCCGAACCTTGAGCTAGTTGGTTTTGACTTGAGCACATATTATTACTAGCGGGAGTGAAACAGGAACAAAGAAATGTACAGATAGGAGGTCCGCTAGCTTATCACTATGCAAAAGAAAAAGGAAGGATGTGCCACTCTGTCCACGTTCATCTTTTCTTCCTTTTCGTCCATGTTTAAGCTCTGCTAGTAATATGTATTCAACTACACGAATGATTACTTGTTGCAAAAGTAAAAAAAAAAAAAAGACAACATAAAACTCACCTTCTGAACAAGACGATAGATATAACGTGAGAACAAAACGACGACAAAGAGACAAGAAGGACACGAAGGACACTTGTCTCTTTGTCGTCGTTCTGTTCTCGCACTATAACTATCGTCATGTCCCACCAACTAGCCCAAGCTGCCACACTTCTAACTTCTGAACAAGCCAGTTGGCTACAGGGCCTATTCAGAAGGACCAGATGTCTCAACCTTGCCTTTTATTCTGCCAATCGAATAACAATCAATAAACTGGGTTTCATTTTTACAGTTCCATAAGAGCTCTATCACAGTTTATGGTTACTTGTATTTTTTTGTAACACAGAAGTATACGATCAGTTATACTTTCATACTGCTTCGATTAATTAAAAACTTAACCGTTTGCAATACTGCTATCAGTATTAACCCACTGCAACACAACTTTCTCATTCGGAGACCCAACTTAGTTATGCAGCTTCTGTGCACTAGTGGCAAGGAAAGGGCAAATACCGAAGTAAAGGTAAATTAAGCACTCGCATTGCCAACAGCTGTTTGTGGGCCAATCCTGATTGCCAAGTGTGCTTTATGTCAATTCTGATTGTAGTATTTTGCTGCACATGATTGCTTCGGATGAACGTAGTACTGTGTTTAACAAGGCTTTGGTAGTGACGTATTTTAGCAGGAATGAAAAAATTGTTTTTTGTTTTTTTTAACTCCTAAGAACGCTCACTGCCCGCAGATAATCATCGCGTAGTAATTTGAGTGCGTAGTTAAATTCAGTTTATGAAAAACTATAACATGAATGACTGTAGAATAATGCGATAATTATGATGTAATCGCCATGAATTACTACAGAGTACACCACAACTTATTGCAAGAAATTCATATTTCGAACGTGGGATGGAAACAACAAGGACGAGACAGGTAGTAAAATACGCACACAAGTACTAACTTTCCACAATGATTTATTGGAAGCCGGATCAAAAATATATAGCATATGAAAATTGTGGTCACTCAGATATGCACAAATGTGGACACACTAAAGAATGACAATCGTTTTTTAGATAATGAGAATGAAGGTGGGCCGACATTATTTTGCCCTCCTAGCTTATGTGTGGTAGCAGACTCACAATCAAATGTAGTTTCGTCTGCCTGTATGTGTACAACCAAGCACTCGCCAAAGACAAGAAAACACCCGCATGTGCCGAAACGAGTGGATAACAAACCATTGTCGCCCTTTTTTACATTGCTTTTGTGCTGTCTAAGCCAGTCCTTGAGGCAACACCTTGTTTGCCCTGCAATGTACTTTCCACATGACAGAAAAGCTGGCACGCGAAATGTTTAACGATTTTATATGCAAGACATCTTTTCGCGAACTTCTGCGACTTTGAGCGCATATATATATATATATGTACATACATATAGTTGCTTATGACTTAATGCTCTCCTGACCATAAAATTAATGGTACATACACTAAAATAGGTATGGCATAACAGGAAAACTATGGAAAGCTTGTCATGAACTGCATGATTACATGTTATAGCCTTGGTGCTCCCGAGGCTGTTTTGTTAACCGTATGTATACGAAAACTTGTATGGTGTGACAAGAGTGTATGACGAACATAAGCATGACAGGTCTTGTAGAGCACCATTTACATGAAAAGGTCTCTGGGAACTTGCAACTATTTAATTATTTAGATGCAGACTCAGTCCTCAACATGACAAATGCAGATATAATGAAATATCGGTTCTAGCAAAGTAAATGAAAAATAGTCTTGCAATAGATACAGTGTGAGGAATAACCTTTATAACAAATTTCCAGGTAAAATGAACTTATTTTCGTATAAGATGCAACTTTAATATAATAAGGCCAGTTAGCTACATTGTTTAGATGAGTGCATTGTCTTTAAACTGAGTAAACATTTTTTTTTCTGATATTTATGCAAATTCTATATATGCTTCAATGTTCTCAACAAGTACAGTGCCGGTGACCGCAATTAAGATCAACGAGGAAATACCTGCATACCTGCAAGCACCATGACTGAGATGTTCCCACTAAACTAAGGCCTACCCTTTGGCCCCCCACAACATGAATGCAAATTAGAAAGTATCTTGGCACAGTGAGTTGCTATTGAAATTTCAAGTGAGAACTTGGACAAGGACAAGCAATGACACACTTCAAGTTTCAATAATGCATATTTATCAACTACCTTGTTTTTTTGTCATTTTACTTCAGATATGAATGGACCCATAGTTCAAACATATAGCAAAGAAAATGTCGACATGCGGGGGGGGTGGGGGTGGAAGCCGCAGAAAGGGCCAGTACACCTCGTGAGACGTCAGTGAACCGCTCGGCCTTCAGTAGTTTCGAGATTAATCGGGCTTGAACTTACCCAGCGGAACCGGCTGTGTCGTAGCGAACAAACGTGTGGGTAAGGTCATGCTTGTCCGCCATGTAGCACTGGTTGCACAGGTCGAAATCGTAGCAGCGCGTACACTTCCATCGGGTGCCGCTGATTCCCCGCTTACAGCAAGCATCGCAGATAATGTTTGGATGTTTTATACCTGCAAAGAGATGCGGAAGATAGTTAGAGAAGCGATTTTTGAAAAATTCTTCACTGTCAGCCAATGTGTGGCACATCTATTCCTCAGACAATGCTCATACATTTGAAATGTGATGTATCTTAGATGAAAAGCTTTACTAGCAGAGATAATAAAAAATTTGGCACTGCCAGCTCTAGTTACTGCACAAGATACAAAAAACTCCCTACTCAGACCGGAAGTTGATAAGTGTTTCATATTCCCTGGTACTCATTTAAACATCAACTTCTAGTTAAGAAAACATTTAATAGACATACCTCACACACCTAACTTCACAAAGTTGCCAGTGCATATACAGGGGGAAAAAATGCTGGTTAAAGGATTTGCACCCTCCTGAGCCTAACCAGGGGTACACCTCTAGATGTGCTTCACTTAGGAATGTACGCTAGTGACAACCTCCCAAAAAAGTTAGCACTGGCTATAATGTCAGTGTCAAAAATACTAGCTGTTTCGGATTATGAAAAGTCAATGAGCAGAATATGAAAACGAACTTCAGCAACAACACGTGTTCATACTCACTCATAAAAAAAAAAGACAGAAAATGACAATTTTCGAAAAATGCGAGTTCAAAGGAAAACAGCAAAATAAAGAAAAAAAACGGGAATAGGAAGCAGCTACTGATCTGCTGCCATGGCTATGGTTAACAGTGGCCCACACTCAGAAATATAGATCTAGTATACTTGCACGAACGCTAAAGAAAATGTACATAAGGAAAAGCCCCCACAGTAATCGATAAGAGATCACCGCTTGGTCAATGCCAAAGATAAGAGTTTGGCTTTAACCCGTGACTGTCATTTCATAATTTCAATCTCAAAAGAATCATTAACATTATCTACGCTTTTCCAGGCATCAACTGCCATCAGCCTCACGTTAATGCAGCAAACCAAAAAATTAAAGCCCTTTATCTCCCCACAATGTCATAACCAACAGCAGGGAGAAGTATTTAAAAACACACATATTTGTGAATGAGCATCTTCGAGGAAGCAAAGTGGCCCTAGCATAGAATAAGCTTTACCAAACTGGTGAAATAAACCTACAGTCTCTGAGAATCTGAGGTCAAGAGCAGTTCGGTGTGAGAGTGAACGGCAACGCGACCGAGGCACACAGCAAAACGCTGACAAAGTGTTTGATGTGAGGAGGTGGGAAGGGGGCGAGATACTGCCAATCACGTCACCTCTTATCTGGGCAGCCCACACTACAGTAAATGCGTTCGGGGAAACCCCACAAGCAGATAACCATGACGTTTACCCTCCTCTCTATTCGAACCATGTAGACAGCTCATGAGCAAAGTGCGCGTGAGTTGAACTTAAGGGCTGACTCGTTCATTCCTTAGCTCCCGTCCCTTTAACATGAGGGCACACTTTTTTCACAAAAAGTGCAGACTGTCGCTCATTGCAATAAATAAAGCAGCAAGCAAGTAGAAACGGGTCAATATCAACAGTAAATAGCATTTTTTTTAAACGAGGTGATTCTCTCAGGCTGACAGCAGTAGCATTGCGATGTAACCGTCTAAATGAGAGCCCCTATTTGCCTCATTTTTCCCGACTTTCTTTCTTGTTGCTTTTTCACTGTCATCTGCTCACCAACATACTGACAGCCCTCTTGCTGAACTCAGACAGTTATATTATTACTTTAATACTTCTGCTTACTGCAGGCCATCATGAGCTATACAATACCAGTGCCCACTAACTAATATCTTTTTATTTTGCTCTGTAATTGCATAACTGACTAAGGTTAGCGATGTAAACATTAGCCAACTCTTTGTGAACATCATTTATCAAATAAAGAAGGAGTTAATTAAATCATTCCTTTGTCAATAAACTCACCCCTGCCTATTCCACTGGAGGTGTCCCATCACCTTGCATTACAGAAGTTAATAAAAAAAACTATTGACAAAACTCAAAAATGTGTTAACACATGCCAGGGACTAAAAATAACAACCAACAAGCCCACTTCAGAAATGTATTTTAGACATGAATTTGTCGTCTTAATTCCTGCTCCTGTCCCTTCCAGCAAGTTAGCCTAAAGCAAAGGTTTTGGGTGTGTTCAACAAAAAGTTACAAGCACAACTAGAATCTTGATAAAGCATGCAGCAACCACTGCTTGTCAACATAGGTGCTGCTTTTCAGAAGACTATCACATGTGAAGTCAACATGATAAAGGTTGTTTGTGTATGATAACAAGTCCCCTCCACCTCATTAGGCTGTGCCATATTTATTAGCTTCCGTTGGAGTAGGTACCAAGCAAAAGCACTTCGTGGGAAAGCCCTCAACTATCTGGGCAACTGAAAACTTCGATGAAGTTTTCTGCAGCATGTCAAGGCTGATTACGACCTTCATTTACAAGTATCTAAGTAAATGAGAAGGCAGATTTTATCAACATGTCCAAAATCCCTTTCATATTATTTTCGAGTCATTTAGACGTCGAACAGCAATGGACAATGGAAAACAATTACATCACATCTTATTATCATTGCTGTAACACCCCACCTCTCAGAACTAAAGGTTTTTATAAAATGGCTGGTGTTCACGTCATGTTTTGAATACAGTAGCAATACATTAGGGATTGGGTGACATTCTACTTGACCACGTAACTATAGCCACAGCTGCAATTAAGATTTATAGACAGCCCTCCAATGATTCCAGAAGTGGCGTAAGTCCAATCATGCCATCAAAGGCAAGAATACACATGAGAAAAAAAAAGCAAATAAAAAAAAACAGACACTAAGCTTGTATTCGGCTGATTTATCTAGTGCTAACACGACAATAATGGCAGAGTAATTATGAATACTCATGGACGACAATTGGTAATGCACCATATTTTAAGCTAGCAACAAATAATAGCCTTTTCCTTAATGCAACAAGGCAGCTATCCACTGATTAATACATAATCAATGAAGATTGCTCCACGCATGATTCAGCATTTTGTTGAAAATGATCAACTTGCGATGTCTCAAAGTCACGTAACAAATGTGAAAGACAAAGTTCTAGCCAATCCACGTATAGTTTTTCTGCCAGTACAAAGTTGGCTGAAACATCCTACTTGCATATTGGCAGCCCTAGGAATTCCCTCTAAGTGATTTTTCTGGCACACCACTGTTCACAAAGTGGAATTTGCAAAATAATGTATAAACTGTGAGAAGTCATCAGACTTGCTGTGAATCACAGTGCAATCGCTCAAGCTCCTGCCTTAAAAGGAGAACCACTTTTTAATTTTTTTTTCTAGATGATGTAATGGCCAAGATAGCCACATGAATATAACTGATGGGTTGAGAAAACACAACTGGAAAACTGAACAGTGGCTCAAAGACAAATTTAATGAGCTGACTGTGCACTATATGCATGAGCTGCGTCTTTAAGCTAATGTGAAACTTCATTCTGACGTTACGCCTAACATCAACACGGAACAGGCAAAAAAAATGACAGCATAGATTTCATTCTGTTGGCACATGAGGAAAAAGTTGCATCTAGCACAGCTGCGAGATACGATAGCATCCCAGCTACAGAATCACAGCTGCAGGTCTGATATTGCCGTGGCCATGATGGCCGTAAATTTACGGCCCTGAGTAGAGTTGCTCTTGGTTTGCAGCGAGTGTGCTCCAAGAGGAAACGCTATATCCAGAACAGCTGCGCACATATCACCCATGGAAAGGCTGCTTCAAAAGTTTATCGGTCTCGCTGATTGCCATGCTTAGAGCAGACACGTGGGTTTCGCCTGTGATCCACGGCGTGCCCACTGGCCCAGAATGAAAACCGAGACGCCCCTATGCCTTCTTCAGTACTATGACGTGGAAAAACATATATAATTTTCGTGGAATGAAATTTTCACCAGATTCTATACATGTCAATCGATCCCGTGACGAGCTAACTCCCCTGCACTCGATTCAGTGCGGAGTAAAGATTCTGTGTGAGAGCTGTGCGAGAGCACTTCATGCACGACAGCTACAAGAAAGCTGCAGAGAAGTGTTGATTTTAATCCTCTGCATTATTTATCAGTTGCTTTAAAATTTCTGTAGAGATGAGCAAATGTCAACATTGCAAACAGTACTGCTAAACTTTTCCAACAAAAGAATAGGAAGAAATCTAGGCACAGCATGCGAATTTTCATCCTATTTAGTTTAACAGTATCAACCCTTCTATTAAATAAAGCACATTCATGTTTTTTTGTTTTTTTTTCATGTATCTTTACAGCTCGGAAAAATGACAGAAGTTCCACTGAATGGGATTTAGTGCGAAACACACTTTCTTTGGCAGCGCAAGCTTTGGCAATCACCCCCTTGGATTGCATAATGGACTGTCCAAAAAAAAAATTGCGATGAAAAAAACTTGTACATAGGAATCAAACGTTGGATCTGACGTTTCATAAACGCGGACAAGTTCAATGCAGAGATGTCGCGGCAAAAAGGTGGAAGTGAAGTAAAACCCAAATCTTGTATTACCAGATGAAATTCAAGACAGTAGGTATAAGAACTTTCACTACAGTGAGAAGAGCGATTTGTAAATGAATGCAGGCAAGGACAGGACGAGCACATACAACTGTCATGTTTTTGTAGGAATCGACGAACTTCGAGTTGCACACAGTTCATAGGCAAAACTTCATCAACACATGGAAGCTGGGCGGCACCAGACGGGGCTATGGGGAAACTGGAGCCCCCCCCCCCCACCCACCTAATATTTTTGCCTGCCCTCTCATTGCCGCCAGCCACCCCCAAGAGCAAACAAAGGCACAACACCTGAATTACCCATTTCCTAGCACGCCCCGCCGTGGTGGTCTAGTGGCTAAGGTACTCTGCTGCTGACCCGCAGGTCGCGGGTTCGGATCCCGGCTGCGGCGGCTGCATTTCCGATGGTGGCGGAAATGTTGTAGGCCCGTGTGCTCAGATTTGGGCCCACGTTAAAGAACCCCAGGTGGTCGAAATTTCGGGAGCTCTCCACTACGGCATCTCTTATAATCATATGGTGGTT